TTTTTCACCACAATATAAAACTGAACAACAAAACATTTAGCTTCTAACGCAACGTATGTATTTTAATCTTATATACTTCACTAATGTGTAATGTTAATTGACACTAACTCTGGATTGCTTAGCAAAATTTAGTATATTTTCCGCTTCTCTATCTCCATATTCTCTCCCTCTCTTATTCATTAAATGATTGTGATGGTATAAAAATGACTGGCATCATTTAATTATTTCTGTTAGTGATAATTACGTTTCTACTGAATTTTGGTGTTGGCGTTATCAATTTTCAATGATTAAAATTAAAATTGAAAATTATTTTTGGCTAACAGGACTGGAATTAATCCATATTAGTATCATTGAAACAGCACAATAAAAACGTCATAGTGTCATCTTAATGATAAATTTACGGATGTATAAATTACGGATAAATTTAATTATAAAAAAATACAGATTAATTATACAAATTTAAGGATGTAAATTAAAATGAAATTTGATAACCAACCCGTGCGTTTTTGGTTGATGTGTTGATTCTCGTATAAACATTGGACATCCATATAAAAAAGATTTTTTCATCATACAAGTGTTTCTAGTATGGAACGCACGAATACATACGCACCATACCCACATTTGCACACACGAACAAACACACATATATACACAACTCACATACGGTTGGTTAAGATCATGGCCCCCTATACTTCACTAATGTGTAATGTTAATTGACACTAACTCTGGATTGCTTAGCAAAATTTAGTATATTTTCCGCTTCTCTATCTCCATATTCTCTCCCTCTCTTATTCATTAAATGATTGTGATGGTATAAAAATGACTGGCATCATTTAATTATTGAGGCCCCCATGGCCTCGGCTGGATGATAAGACAGTACGGGTAGCGGTTGTCAGCTACGCCATTTCGCGTTAAACGGTTACATCTGCCGGCTCTTCTCCAAGGCGTCAATACCCGTTCTTAAAGAGCCGTCGGGAATTTCCGCACACGATGGTAAGCCTCCCTGCGGTTGTACATCGAGCTGGTAGGTGCTTGGCGTAAGACGTCACCAACGCGTGCACGTTAGCAGAATGGTATGAGCACTTAACCAGCAAAAAAATGGTTTGGCCGCAATCAGGGCATCGGATGAAAAGATTAAAAAAATATGATAGTGCTCTTCCCTCGTTAGACATTTTGCCTGTTTGCATAGAGGTCATTGACCCGATGGACAACGACACTTAAATTTTATTTCAAACATCTGCAAAATGATAAGTGTTAAGTCCAGCGATAGCAGAGAGTTTTTTTGCTGTGAATCCCATTTCTTGCTTACTACAACGTTTCCTTCGCGTGTGTGTTGCCAAAAATATCTAACAAATGCATGTATGTATGTATGCATGCATGCATGCATACATACATACATACATATATACATACATACATACATGCATACATATATACACACATGCAAGCATGCATGTGTACATACATACATACATACAAACATACATGCATACATACATACATACATACATACATGCAAACAAACCAACATACATACATGAACATCAGTATGGTATCGTATCATTAGTTGCCAGGTGATGTTGTTGGCATCGACCGACACGCTTCAGTCAGATTGCACCTTCGTGTGTTCGTCTGTGGAAGCAGCGCGCTACTTCAAGCATGTTTCTCTCTCTGTTGTTTTCATCAAACAAATAATTATAAACATGAACAAATTATCGTTTTGTCTGCTCTATGGGTCTATATTGGGTCCGCTCTTTGCTTACAACGTATTTTATAACGGTGTTTACGGTTTTCAAAATGACGTTTGTGATGTGTTACTATCATGACATGATTTGTGACGGCGAGTAATTAATTACTAACTATTAATTTAAACTGTTAAATTTGACTGCACATAAGATTACTGTATGTGGAGTTATTTATATTTCACTTGCTAATAACGTTTTGATGACAATTTCATTAAATATAGCCAAATTTAAATTTGAATTATTGATTTATATTATTTATCAAAATTATTTAAATTTAGCCAAAGAACTGTATATGATTATTTCTAATCTAACTAAAAAATAATTAAATATTGCCTCTGATCTTTCAGCTAAAAATGAATTTTTCTGAATCAGCTCTAATGTAAGTCATGATTGATTGATTGATTCATTGATTGAATGATTGATTCATTGGTTGATTGATCGATCGATCGATTGATCGATCGATCGATTGATCGATCGATCGATTGATCGATCGATCGATTGATTGATTGATTGATTGATTGGTTGATTGATTGATTGATTGATTGATTGATTGATTGATTGATTGATTGATTGATTGATTGATTGATTGATTGATTGATTGATTGATTGATTGATTGATTGATTGATTGATTGATTGATTGATTGATTGATTGATTGATTGATTGATTGATTGATTGATTGATTGATTGATTGATTGATTGACTGATTGATTAATTGATTAATTGATTGATCGATCGATTAATTGATTAATTGTTAAAACAAGGTGGACCATACAACTTCAACTGTGAAGAATATATTTTTTTAGATTTATTCCAATAAAGATTTATCCTAATTGTCGCAGTATTATTATAATTGGAAAAATAGATCAATTTAATAAGTCAAACAAGTCATATGTAGTTATATATATATATATATATATATATATATATATATATATATATATATATATATTTATACATATACACTTATACATTATACACTTTTTTATTTGTTATACTGTTGAATAAATAGGCCATGAATATCAGTTAATCAGTCCCACTTTAAAGGGTTGGCAGCGTATGAAATGGAGGAGGGTAGGGTAGGTGATAGATACATTTAGTGTTGGCGTGGCATTTAAAATTGTTCAATGAAGTTTATTCTTTATTTGTACAAGTTGGTCTATAAATCATGTATTGATTGGCGTGTATTGCTTGATGAAATAACCTGCCAATATGAATTTCGAATGTTTAAAACACAGCCGCTCTTAAATTAAGTAACAATCAATAATAAAACATGAGTCAGTAAACTCATCTGATTGCTTAGTATTTCTATTTCGTAAATACAATCCATTTTGAGAAAATAAAATGAAATTTTTTATTGATGCAAGTTTTATTTTATGCTTTCATTTGAGATTTGAAGCAGTTTCAATTTAATTTTTTTCAAATTTTATCAATTTTCTAATGCACTGGATCTTTTTCTTGGCGTTCGTTGGTGGAATAAATTTTATGCTGGACTCCTATAGAATTAAATAATTCGTGTGGTCAATGCAATACATATCAAGTTATTTTTCACTGTTTCTTACCCAACAGTTAACAGTTAGTGCCTTGCGTTTTTCAGACTTTTAATTCACCCTCTACTAACATTCTCAAATTAACATAACATTCTCAAATTCTTTTTTTCTGTTTTCACTTGAGCCTACCATTTCACTAAATCAAGTAGTTAAATCTATTAATAAAATAGTTTTTCTGCATAATTTTGTAATAGTTTTGGTTATATAATTATAGTTTTTACATAATTACTCTCGATGTTGTAAAGATTAGCAAGCATTTATATTTTCGTGTTTTCAGTCTCTCAGTTCTTTGGCGACGAATGCTTTCTAATGCAAAAAGCAAATTGCATAAAACGTTTTAGAAAACGTACATGCTCTCTTTTCTCGTATAAATTACGTTATTCGTCTAGAGCAACAGACGTCAGTGCGGGTGGGAAATTTGATAAAGTATGTGAAACATTGAGACAAACATACAAACAAACATGTTTATGTTTCATTTCGTTGTTCGCGTTGAAGCCGTGTTGCTTTTTTAATTCTTGATTTAGTGACTGAGGTTTGCGAATTAAATTGCTTTTACTTAATTCTGACAGATTGAAGTCAGATCTTCAAATAAATAAAAAAAAAAAACAAAAAATTTGTCTTAATAAAATGGAAAGTTTGCCATTTACAAGGTTTGTAAAGTTTCATCCGAAAATTTGTCTTTGTAACTTCTTGATTGCTCTTGCTCTGCATGGAGTTGCAAACGGTTGAAATCATAGTTCAATATTCAAAGTGGAGACTGTTGTACGACTCAGCCACGCCACGAAGATTTGGTCTATTATTTTAACAAAGTTTTCTAACTTTTGTATTATCAATTATTTGTACGTTGCAAAAGCAACTAAAAATATCAGCTAATCAAATGGCTTTCTTGTGACACTCGGTATAACCAGATTTTTGTTTGCAGAATTCATAAGAATAGTGAGAATATGAGTACGCTTGGATTTCAGAATATTCCGCAGATGGTTTAAACGCTGCGAGGACTTTAAATAGTTTGAACGTGAATTAGACGGTCATTTAACATATTTTTGCAGGATCATTTGATCAATAAATTGGTAAATTATGTTGCAATTTATTCTTATTTAATGTTTATTGAAGTTCCATGCACTTTTATCTGGTAAAGTTAACTGATATTACTGACAACATTTAGCTATCAGCATCAATCATTGATCGCTCAAACTTTGAATGTCTGTCGTTCTTGAATTTAATGTTATTGTAACTCAGGCTTATAATAATGCAGGGTAATAAAATTTAATTAAGAATAAACATCAGTTTGTTTTCATTTCAAGATGTCGCTTCAAATGGCAAGGCGACATAAATCACTGCGAACTTGCAAGCGAACTGTTGCAATGTTAATGCGCCTGTCACGCGTTGAGAAATTATTTACAACTGCTTCGTTACTGTTTTTTTAATGTATTTTAGTTTTACTTGTGCCGTCCAATTTTTGTTTTATCATTATGCGTAGCAGTAAGATGAAATAATTTTGGTTTATAGATAATTTAATAATCATTCCACAGGTCTCGCCAGACGAGCCATCTCAAATCATGTGCCGCCTGCCAAAAATAATGTTCACTTGACTATGGGAATCCTAAAATATTTTGTTAGATCGTTCCTCTTTGTGATGCTTTTCTTGTCAATATCGTTCATTTATGTACTTTTACATCGCAAGGACGCCAGACTTCTTAATTTTTACAACAATACTTCGCCACAAAGATTGTCAGTTGATCAAGTAATTTATAAAGAATTCACGTTTGGAATATGTGCCGGCGTGCCATCTGCTGCCAGATTGGGAAACGTAATGTTCACTTATGGGTGATATATATTTTTTAAATTCAATAATTTTCTTTCATTTCGCTAAAAGTTCCCATATTTTATTAAAATATAAATTCGCTTAAACGCCAGTTTTGAAATTTGGTAAAAATTCACGCTGAAAATTTGACTAAGCAACGTTTTTTTTATTTCCATGCATCGTTGCTGCGATTTTTTTTAATACGTAAATGAATACCAAATGTTCAGATCTCTTCTGGGACTTGCTGAACGCTACAACGGCACCGTCATCCTAAGTTCCGGACACTATGATTACCTGGCTCGAATATTTAACTTGAGTAAATTTTATTTCGTCGACGACAACGCCTGCCTAAACAAAGACATCTTTAGTATCTGGGAACGATGGCCCAGCAGATTTGATGCTAACGTTCAGAACAAATTGTCACAATTTTTAAAAGATTTGCAAAACAACGTGACGATAAAATTGATAACAACGGAATCTCAAAAAAATAAAATGTTTAAAATTAATTTTGACAAAAATTATCATTATCCAATAGTGAAAATTTTCCATTTCTTGCAATCATGGCGATATTTTGAAAACACGGAATTAAGATCAGTTTTCAGATTTCAAACTTGGATTGACTCGAGCGTTCAAATTATTTTGCAGCAAAGGACGAAAGAGATTTTACTGGAAAAACGTTTTCCAACATTCCTATCTACATTTTCCAGCAACTTAACTACCTCTTCCGAGAATTCTTTTAAGTCACATTTCATTAGTTTTGAAAAAAGAAAGTTTATACATCTAACAGATAAAAAAATTATTGAAGTAGTTTATATCGGCGTTCATATTAGAAGACGTGACATGACAAATCCTAACGAAATCAGAAGGGGTTATTTAAGCGCACCAAAGGAATATATCGACAGAGCCATTCAACTTTTTGAATCAGAGTTTTTGAAGTGGGGTAATGATGAATTCAAAAAACTTACTGACAGAAATAATTGGGTAGACAAAACTCTAGTATTTATCGTCTCGAGTGATGATGTCCAGTGGGCCAGCCAAAATGTGAAGTTAGTTTTTTGTTGTACAATCGATCAGCAACTACACTGTGATTAATTGTTCTATTTGACATTTAATTTCTCACACAGCCGTAATTTAATATTTGTTTTAGAAAAATTACTAATATTAATATTTCAACAACTAAATAATTACAATAGTAAAATTATTTATGAAAGCGATCGGTAAGTAATAATGTAAAAACATTCCATGCGCCGTCATGTGAGGGGCTAGGGTGGATGGAAAACTCAAACGTTCCCTTTTAATTACGTGCATGATTACATTCAGTGACTTTGAAGTTTTATCCTCAACACATAGCGGCGAATCAAAAAACTTTTAGTGGCAAAAAATTATTTATGTTATTTTCGCCGGAAAAGATCATTTTCCTCTTGAAACAATCACTTTTTAAATTTAAAACTAATAAAACAACGGCACTAATCTTCATAACTCTATATAACAATAATAAATACAACTAATCCTTTTTAAAAGCAATCATGATTGAAGCCAATCAATAAAAAAGACAAGATCAGACACTTCGACGGTAGAAGAACAGTCAAAAATATCTGATCTGATTCTCTCGGCTTCTATTTATACAAGTTTCATTCGCACATTCTCACCATTCCAATCATTCTTATCAATAGAGAAGCTTATATCATGTATTCAAAGCACTAACACTCTTAACAATACACAGTCTATACTAAAATGAACTCAACGAACATCTACGCACACAACTTCTTGGTTGGCTGGTTTGGTTGGAGCACCACCTTACATGTATCGATGCCAACACACTTACAAATAATAACATTTTTGTTTAATTGTTTAAGATATACGTGAACATGTTTGCGTGAATTCAAAATTTTCAACCAACACTTCTTGCCTACGATGAAATGAGCTCCTTGTTGAAATTATTTAATAATATTTTCAAATTTGATTTCAAATAAAGTTTTGCACCACGTATATGGTTTGTTTGTTTGTTTGTGTGTGTGTGTGTGTGTGTGTGTTTGTGTGTTTGATCAAACAATCAACCGGTAATTTTGTTTTTTATTGCATTTCTATATCTATCAAAAATAAATTCAGCGTGTTTATATTCCAATTTTGTTTTCACACATAAGCATTCTGGAATATTTATTAAAACCTTATTTTCAATAATTTCAATTTTTGATTATTTTATATTTTCCAGATCAAGTTATCCTATAATATACACTCACGAATTGCGATCTCGCACTTTCAACTTGACTTCAACTGAAGAAATCAACCTGATGAAAAAGTTTGCTTCCCAGAAGTTGTCCATGGGCGTCAACATGTTTGACACTGCTGTCGACCTTGCCATCCTCAGTGCCTGCCAGCACGTCATCATGACTGTCGGCACGTTTGGGTGGTGGGCTGGCTTCCTATCTGGAGGGACTGTCGTTTATTACAAGAACTATCCATCGCCCAACACGGAAATCGGATCAGGATTTTTAGCAGAAGATTATTACCCTCCAAACTGGATTTCAATGACCTGACCTGACGATTCTCCAATTTTTTGCTATTTTTGTTATATTTTAAGTTGCAGTTATTATATTTTGAAGTTTCCTGTTTTTATGTAATTTTTTGTTTATGTTTCGTTTGTATGCATAGGCTATTTCGTTTGCGTTTTTATGCTAGAAAAATTGATTTACGACTAAGTACAATTATTTAAATTCATTTGAAATAACTGGCTGCTGCAAAAGGAAGTTTTGAATTTTTTACTGGTGGTTTTAGAGGATTTAACGATTTGGTTGATCTCTGGTGCTCTCAACTGTACAGTTTCAATAATATTGCGTTTAATAATTTATTTTTTTCAATTCATGAATAAATAAATACCTTTCCTCCAACAAATATTTCTATTTGTGAAAACCAACAAACGACATGTATTGGCTCTTCTTTATATACTATTGATGTCATCATTATCATTACAGATCAATTATTTGGCGCCAATTATATACAATCTCAAAGGCACTTTCATGAAATAAAACAAAATATTATTCTGGTTATAGTTTCAACAAAAAAAACGCACAAATAACTTTATATCAGATGAACAAAAAATGAGCTCAAAAATACTAAAGTTCAAACAAATGTGTTTACAAAAGTTTTTTAATCACAGTTAAGCCCAATATTTCTTGAACATACGGGTAATACATTCCACACACGAGGTTCACATACGGAAAAATATCTTTCCCGAACTTCAGATTCGAAGGTAGAGGCAAAAATAAGATTCCAAGCATCTGCCCATCGTTGAACTCTCGGCAAGCATCTGTCACACTGGTTCTCTGGTGCACTGCACGCCACCTCACACGCACAACCACTTATGGTCTTTAAACATTGTTAACACCCACAGTTTTGTTTTTAAGGTCAAAAAACAATTTTGTTAACAAGAAGGGATTTTGGAGAGCAAATTAAAGAAGTTAAGTTAGACTATGAACTGTTTGTTGTTAGCAGCATTGAAAAATATTTTAATAAAAACCTTACAAACTTCAACTTGTTTCGTTATCTCAAGTATGGTTAATGATGAATGATTTATAGAGTGACATGCAGTCAGTGATATGCACAACAGCGTGATGTTGTGAGTGTGTGTGTGTCGTTCACACATGCATATTTTGAAATGGTTCCATAGGTTCGGTTATCGTTGTTCGTCATTGTTTTGAAAAATTTCTAAACAAAAAGTATATGATCCGATACTCCTATAAAATAAATCGTTAAAAAGTGAAGTCAACAAATACTTTCTGAAAAAACTTCTCGATCCACTTATCATTTTTCCATCTATTCATTCATTCATTCATTCATTCATCCATTCAGTTTCATTTAATATTAAAAAAAATTCTTTGCAATATAATTTGATTTAAACACCAAACCAAAAAATCCAAAAATGCTCTCGTTTCAATATTTGTGTAATAAATAAAATTCACACCAATGCACACGCCACACACATTTACACAAACAAACACATACAGACACACAAACAAACACACACACACACACACTTATCCGTATTATATATTTGCATAATTATTTCTCCATTCAGCCAAATATTCAATTAACTGCTTCAGATGCAAGAGGACAATCAATCCTGACAATCAATCCTGACAATTACTTTCTACCGTGAGTCTGAACAAAATTCACCTAAACAAATCACTCACACACACGCACAGCAAAATTGATGGGAGATTCGTCATTAATTTCAATTATTTTAATCAGACGAACCACTACAGTGTGTTGCAAGAAAATAGTAGTCAACCAAAAAACATAGCAACTGTTTTAAACTGCTGTCCCGAAGACAAAAAAAAAACGATAATTCGTTACGTCACTCATTGACAAAGAGCGTGTGGTCGGTATAATGGTTTATTAATATGTGCCTAAGTCAAACGTTCCGCGGAGTAGCTCATACGTTGTATCTACGCTGGCGTAACGCATGCTAGACAGTTGGAATGCCTTCTTTCAAGTCAGTTTGCTTATTTATCTAAGATATTTTTTAATATATATGAGTATGTATCTTTATACTCACGTCTTTTTGTATGTAATTGTATGTTTTATTTAGATGTATAAATTAAATATTCATTGTATATGCAATTTTATATATGCAATATATAACTTGCTTTATACACACATCTGTAAATCTTATATGAAATGTACACATTATCTGAAATTGTATATATAAACGTTGTCAGGTTTCTAAATTTTTACAAGCAGCAAAGACATTTGAAAATATTCATAGGCATGGCAGTTCGAAACAGTTATTGTCAAATATGTAGCAGCGTCATCATGATCGTCATCAATTTCACCACTTTACGACATTTCCACTTGTCATCAGACAAACAACCTGGTTGCTTGTTTATAAAACTAACATCATCTTCACCACCATCTTCGTCATCATCATCTAGATCATCATCCCCATCGGTAGCATTTTCATTTTTATACTTGATGTCATCTTACTTGCTCTTATATTCAAATTTCCCGCTTTTAGCAGGTGAGTTGATGTTTTTTTTCAATTTTTTTTTGTTGAATTGATTCAAATGTGCATTTTATATACTAAATTTTTTTTTGTTGATCATTTTCTGACAATAATTTCACATCATTTGATTTTCTGTTCGTTCGATTTATATCATTTATATTCGTTTAAAACTGCAGTAAAGATTCGCGAACTAGGTAATACAATTTAAATTCAAGTAAATAGATTTATTTATAATGAATGCAAATAAAATAAAATAACTAAGTGGTTATTGTATGTTATGGGAATGCATGAATTAAATGACTAAAGAGTGTTTGTTAAATAGAAGTGGTGTTAATAGAGGATGAATGCTTAAGAGATGGCTGAGATTGCGATGTTGATTGTTTCAAAAAATGAACCTAATCGATTTGGCTGGGAAGGAGGAAAAAATGGAGAAATAAAATTATAAATGAGTTAGATGGAAATGGCGGGGGTGTTGGTTGATGCTTGCTATGCTAATTTAACGGCGGGTGGCTAAGTGTGTGTGAGAGTGGATGAAGTGAATGTGTGTGTGTTTGAAAGTGTGTGTGTATGTGTGTGTGTAAATTCGCGCTTATGTCTGTGTGACGCAGCTCACTCAGTTGTTCAACGATGTCAAACACTGACTGAGTCAAGACTGAATCATACACTCACATATATGCACGTACGCACACACACACACAACCACACACTCACGCATGAAGGCACTCGTATGGAAAGAATAGAATTCAGTACGCTAGGACAAACACGCTCACAAACAATCATAAGAACGCACATATAAGGACGCACACATAGGCATGAATACTTTCAAGAAAAATTAACTTCGCCTGATCAGACCCGCTGGGTGTTCACAGCAATGATCCAAATCAAAGATACGTTACGAAAATAAACTTATATTAGAAATATTTGAAATATATTAATAATTAAAAACAATTATTTGAAATTATAAAAAAAATGATTTAAAAAAACTGGAAAACTGATCCGGTATGATGGACGTTATTTTATCGAGCCAGTTCTACTTGAGCCATTCCCACTGGGACCACGATAACAATAGCAGTCGCCATTTTATTTTCTCCCAATTCTCGTCGTCATGGTCTTCATCCCACCACCATCTCCATCATCATCTTCATCATCCTCATCTTCATAGTCATCTCCATCATTTTTATCGTCATCGTCTTCATCATCCTCATCGTCATCTCCATCATTTTTATCATCATCTTCATCTTCTTCATCCTCATCAACTTTTCATTTTTAATGTTATTAACTTCATCGTGAAATCTGCCACATCACTACACGTAATGCCTTATTAATTTTTTTACTACTTGTCATCTATTACATTATAACTGTCGACACCTAACTTTTATAAATTTCGTTTGAATAATTTTCTTCTAGGAGGACAGGGGGATTTTTTTATAATTCTAAGCTAAACTCAGTGATACATTTTTTAATTTTCACTTCAAGATGACCGCCTCTTAGAGGTTTGCTTTACAACTCTAAACAACATTTTATATGATTGTCAGCCTCGACTGATCAAAAATTTATTTTTTTCCACGATCGTCACCAACAAGAATATAAAAATAATCTTCGAAATCAGGCACCAGACATAAATAAAATATAATAAAAACAAATAAATTAAATAAAAAAATTAAATAAATAGATAAATTAAATAAAAATAAATAAATAAAAATAAATGCCTATTAGTGAAAATAGCTTGAAAAAACCTGCAATGATTCGTCGAAGACAGGATAAATTAATTGAAAACATTCATGTGCAGATTTATTCCTCCTAAACATGCTCCCAAAATTGTAAATTTGTAATTTAAATATGTGATGTTTCAATTGTTAGACACGGCTTACAAGCATCTAGGGTGTTTGTGTTTGGATCATCTTATCTCATTATTTCATATCTTTATTGTTGTAAGTAATTTCATTACTCAAGAAACAAAACGAAACGAAAACCTCACCAGATAAAAATTTTTTATGGAGTTTGTATCAGCACATTAGAAAATATCTTTTTATTCTATCAATGATTAACATCAAAAATTGTTGTTAAAATCATCTTTATCAACATCAGCAGCATAGCGTTTAAATCACCGATCCAAACGTCCCAATTACAACTCCAACATCCCTACAACACAACATCTCTTGCCGACACACATCGTCACAACATCACAATCGCCATCATTACCATCACCAGCATTATCTAGCGCGCCAGATTCTTCTCATAGCATCTTCCTCTTCTTCTTCCTCTTCATCTTTTTGTTTCAATTCACTGCAGAAGCATAAATATGTGCTACAGAAGGATGACGTCACAACAAAGATATCGCATCCATCTTTCCGGTTTCATCGTCACACGCGCACGCACACACGCTCCACTTGCCTTCCATTCAATGCACATCCACAAGTGCTATCAATACATATTAATTGTACTATACATCGTGCGCTGTTTTATCAAAAAATTTTATAATCCTAATGTTGTTAAGTAATGATTAGATTATTATTATTTTTATTGTTATCATCATCATTATTATAGCAATTGCTGTAGAATGTCACTGTATAGTTAAACCTTAAACAGCGTGATCATGGTCAGTTAGTTACTTGAAAACCTCATCCACATAGTTCTGCGTGTTTCATTTTTTCCATTTGAAAAAAATTCGCCTTTGATGGAACGATGATGCAATGCTTACCCTCTACGTTATTATTGGTGCTTTGTCGTCCATCTAACGTCCGCTGATGAACCTTCCATGCAGCACTCGGAAACGTCGGCCACGTCGCAGCGGTCTTCCAATGAAAGCATCTCTTCAAAATAGTTTGCAATTGGCATGGCTTCATCAGGAAATTGGTCACTTTTGGTCAATTTTTCATACGCTGGGACCACATTATCCGGCTCAACAAATGCCAGAGTCGGCAATATTTTTATCCATTGGGCAAATTTGTGATCAGCTTCGTACTCACCTTCAAATAAGATTTTTTAATTTGAATTCCATAGTATTGTAAAATTTTAAAGAATACAAATTTTCAAAAACACAAAAAATTATTTTACTTTCAAACCTTCCACCAATACTCGCCTCCAAACGCATAAATGGAAAAACAACCTGTTTTTTCAGTTCCTGGGAATCCGATGTTGAATGCCAGGAAACCATAAAATTAAAAATTAAAATTTTATTTCTAATAAAAGATAATTAAAAACCTGCTTGCATGGCGACTTGCTCGAACTCACTCATCAGACATGTCGGTCTAAATCCAGGTTGCACGCTCTTCAATTCGAGCAACGTTTTGACATACGTGGCACGCGTTTTGGAATGACCGAGTGTAAATGGACAACATGAATAGAGTACAGTTGTTTGAACTACTGCGGAACAGTGCTGAACGTACCGCCGGCAAGCCATTAGGTTGATTGAGCCAGAATCCGCAATCTAGTTTGTGTGGCAAATACGAGAATACGACCGGGTAAAAGATTTGTTCGGAATCGTACATTAGAAAACAACGCCGTAGATGGTTATTTCTCGAAGATTCTGAAACAAAGATTATTCGATTAACGAAAACTTTCAAGGGGAATTATATATATTACTCGAGGAATCACCAAATCAGCGACGCTCTGAGGCAATTGGTACATTATCATCGTGCCAAAAACGGCGAATCTGCCTTTTTAGAAAATCCTGACGAGGTTAAATAGCAGCTGTATTAGTGTGCAAATCGGATGCGGCTTCGGTCAGAATTCGATGAGGGGTTTCTAGCGTTTGCATCGATCGCTCATAAATGTTTGCAATAACATCTAGAGCTAAAGGACGGCCAGCTTGTGAGGCATGAGTGTGGTCTGTCATATTTTTAACCACTGTGGACCGTACAAGCCCATTGTCCAAACCCGTCCATTGCAAATAGACCGCTTTTCACAAATCCATATACCATAGTTTCTCTTCGATTCCACAGTGAAAAAACGTTCGTGACGTTTGTGAACAAGCTTCCGCTTTCCACACTGGGAACAATCATTTGTAGACAATAACTAACTAATTAATTTGTAGACAAGAGAATTAACGACGGGTTTAAATTAGCAAATTTTGTTCGTACCCAAAAAATGTTTTTCGCGAAATTTTTTATTGTACTGCAAGTAGTCCGGGGGTAAGTAGTCTTCGCAAATCGCTGATCAAGTGATGCTAATTTCTTCTTAAATAAAATGAAAAATGTGGTGGTCTTCATATTCGATGCTTGTTGGTAAGTGTGTTTGTGTGTGAGTGCGAGAATTAATTTTTAACTTTATTTCACGTTGATTTTTTTTCTCCTGCATAGTTTTTAATTTGTTTTAAAATGTTCATTGATTTGATTTGATGAATTCATCGAAAGTTATTGAAAAATGCAAAAATAGGAAGAACGACGGTGTAATTTAATAACATAATTCACATTAATAACCCCCCAAACATATTATTTCATTATTAATTATTATAAACAAAAATCCATCGTTTTAGTTTAGTCGTTTTCAAAATATTATTTCATTTTTTACTTATTTGGAAAAATTATAAATATACAACCCCCACAACCACCACCACCGCCGTCTCGACCGCCACACAAGCAGCCTCTCACGCCATCCAACTGACGACAACCAGTCAAGTGTACGTTACGAACGCGGGGCAGTCCATAGAGTTGCACTGCCAGATTGCCTATATGCGACCTACCAAGATGAAACCCTCCCCCACACCACTTCCCACCGTGACGAACGCCAACGTTTACAAACGTTCAACCAGATTCCAGCAGCTTGTGAGATTATCGTCAGTGCAGAAGCATCGTCACTCATCATTGTCGTCATCAACATCATCATCGGCAACAACAGCATTACCATCGTCATCATCGTCGTCGTCATCATCCTCATCGTTATCTTTCGGACATTTTCACGAACCAGTTAGCATTTTTTCATTTTCATCTGAAGATTCAATTTCCAGACCGATTCGAAATATAAACTTTGACGTCCAGTTGAATTCGTCATCGTCATCTTTCTCATCTTCTTCTTCACCATCATCGCAAATAACGATAACTTCATCTTCATCACTGCCATCTTCATCTTCCTCCTTTTCATCATCTACATTTGAGATGAACCACCACATCTTCTCGAACATGAAGATGTTCTTCCTAAAGCAGCAGGGTCCGGAAACGACACAGGTGAACGATGCTGATGACCTGCTGGATCCCTTCCATAAGGAACAGGACAGACTGCACGTCACCTGGATGCACTCCTCTCACGATAACAAACTCACCATGATGCTCAAAATATCTAGTCGGTGTCATAGGTTTACTCTTGAAATAATGTTGATGCTGGTGTTATTATCTGTTTGTCTGTTTGGTTTGAAAAAGGCATCATAGGGATAGATTTGTAATTAGTGGCATAACCTAAATGTTTAAATATATGCAGTTTGTAAACATTCTCATTTCCATTTTTTTTCTATAGTTTAAAACACATTTGCGTCTTCAGATGCTATTATTTAATTTATTTCATTTCCTTTGAAATTTGCTTATTGCTATGATTGAATTGAACAATGAGTGTTTATTGATAAAAATACAAATATCATAAAAATAAATATTTTGTAAAATTCGATAAAAATCTATTTTGAATTACTGGCTAATGAGTATTTATTGATGAAAATAATGCAAACATGTAAAAATATCCGCCTGTCAGATCTGACAAATGAAGATAGCGGCAACTACACGTGTGTCATCACAGGGCGTCTGCACTCACGTCATCAGTCACGTCAGCAAAATGTCACCCACCATCTTTTCATCAGAGGTCTGCTAATAATAATGATGATGCATCACATCTCGTATTTCTTCATTAAAAGGCAGTTTTTACTGTCAAATCGGATTTCGTCGCATTGAGTATTATTACATTAATTCATATCATTACATTACATTGATTCAATTTCTAATCTTTTGACATCACATCGCATACTATAGTGTAACGTCACGTTAAATTACGTCAAATCGAAATCACATTACATCGTATCAAATCACATTACATCATATTACATTACATTATATTACATTACATTACATCGCATCGCATTACATTAAATAACACATAGCATCAAATAACATTACATTAAATCAGATAGCATAATATCAAATCATATTACATCAGTTCACATTACATCATCTCCCATCGAATTATATTATATCCCATTACAGCAAATAACATTACATCAAATAACATTACGTCAAATCATATAACTTAACATCAAATAAATAACGTTACATCAATCCACATTACATCAATCCGCATCAAATCATATAAAAACCTCGAATCACTTGACACACGTCATAGCACATCCCATCACATCCCATCACATCACATCACATCACATCACAGCCTCGGCCAAATCAATCCATCTGCATGCAAACAACGAGATGATGACGTCAGATCTCTATCAACACTTCAGTACTGGACAACACGACGATAACTATGATGATGACGATGATGATAGAGAGATAGATGATAACAATGATGAAAATGGAAGCGATAGCGATGGTGAAAATGATAAAAGTAAAAACGCACACAACAAATTATCAGACGTCAGTGATGACGTCATTTATGGCGGAAATGATAACATAATTTTGAAAAATTACAGTTACGATGCCGATGATTTTATCATTCATGACGACGACGACGATGATGATGAGGATGCGATTGCAAGGATTAATTATTATGATGGCCATTCTATGGACAATAATGACCAAGACTATGATAATAAGGATGGAGACGATAAAAGTTTATCTCTCATTAAGGGCAAGGACATCAAACGTTCTTCCATCATCATCAACATTAACTACAACAACGACAACAACGACAACTACAACAACAACTATAATAACAACAGCTACAACAACAACAACATCAACAACTACTACATTAGCAATAACAATGCTGACAACAACAACAATAATAATAACCATAATAACTATTTCAATGATAACAAAAGCAAAAATGATGATGATAAATTTTTTGATTTCAATTTTCATGATAACGATAATAATAATAATAGTAGTACTACTACTACTACTAATAATAATAATAATAACAATAATAATAATCCACATTCCCGTCATCTTGATCATCATCATCTTAATATTCGTCACCAACTACAAAATGATGTATATGAAAATGTTGAAGATGACGATGATAATAGAAAATCAATCAATTTTTATGGGAAAACAATTAAAGTTAGTGATGATGGTGGTGATGATGATGATGACGAGGATGATGACGATAGTAGTGATGACGATAATGACGACTAGTACAATCGCGATGATAATGATCAAGATAATAATAATAATAACAATAACAATAATAACAATAATTGAAAACTCTTTTACTACGACCAAAGCATATTTTATTAAATTATTAAATCAATAAATGAAATGAAATAAAAATTAAAATGGAATTCAATGTGCACTGCAATAAAACCCCAATGCTCGTTATCTTGGATAAGTGCCCTAAAAGGTGTTATACAGTGTCCTGGCCCTATTTCAATAAATGGCATGCGACGATTTTTTAACCGAGTTAATTAGCTTGCCCGTTAGTGAAATAGGCCAATCAGTTTTAATCGATGACAAGTCAACAGTATTAAAAAATCCAATCGGAGTAACTTCTAACGTTTTTAATGTAATAGAGCAGTTTTTTCAAGAGGTGTTCAAGCATGATTTCCAGCTGTTTCTGTATTTTGATTGTTTGAAGATTTCAGACTGGATCAAATTCGTCTCGTGGCACACCGTCCATTTGATGACCTCCATTTTTTGGTCGTGCAGAATGGCAACGTCTGGAACAAGTGTTGAACAGTTGTGTCATCAGTAGGACTCTGATCGATACGATATCTGCGAATATTAGGCAGTCCGAAGAAATACTTCTGATAGAATTTTATTATATCTCTCTGTATATCTCGCCAGGACCCCACAGATCCACAATTGGACATTACGTGCTTGTTTGTCTGTTGCGCACTGCAAATGGAACATAGTGCATCTTGTGTTTTTCCCCATCTGTGCAGATCTGCGCTGGTCGGTAGTAGTTGAATGACATTTTTTCTCGCAAACTTGTAGAGCGTTTCAGGAAACGTATCTAATTTCTTGGACCTATGAGTGATTGCCGCTGTCACAGATTTAATAAGGGCACCTTGACTTCGCAGAGAAACAATGTCATTCCAACAAGCATCTATCCGCTTTTTATCTAAGCATTTTAGCGACTGAGATGGTAAGTCCGATTTAGAAAGTAAGGTGTTGGCCATTTTGTAGTCTATTGCTGTTTCCCGCTAAAAACATCGAATTTCTATATTTGAACTTGTTTTAAAATAGTTTCGAAATTTGATTCTTATTTCTACGCATTCTTATTTCTTGATTCTACGCAGAGTCCTTGAGTGAAACAATATTTTGACCTCCAATCTTCAACGACAGACCCAACATCTCTAACACACAACCGCAGATTGGCATTGTTAGCCAATTTCTGACCGCTTCCCTCACTAGGTTCAAATCAAATCAAAATTCTATTTATTTAAAATCCAAAAACACAAAATAAAAAGAAACAGATTGTGCGGATTTACTGAGATCACATAAGAATAACAAAACTTGTAAAGACCACCGTGAATACAATAATCAATTTAAAAATAAGAACTCACATATATACAAAAGTTGGATCAATCACTAGAAGTATGACTGACTGGCCTTACCCATTACAATTTAGGTATTAAACTTATGCATGAGCAGTCCACTTGCACACAATACAACATATAATCATCATAGTACTTAATTAAGATAGTTCATGAAATGACGACTAAGCAAATATGTTGGTTAATTAATAATTAAACAAAAAGAACAAGAAAACTGAAATTGTTTTGACTGTTTTCACTCAGAGTTAAATTAAAATTAAATTAAGGTTGTCTAAAGCATTGTAGCTCCGTAGCTCAAACTTTAATTGTGAAGGGATGAATCTTTTTAAAATTTGTAACTTTATTTGTGCTGGAACATCAAAATATGTCGCGATCTTCAGCAGCCGTGACAATTTGGAAACCAGTTTTTTTTGGCTTTTGTATCTTTTTCTATAACATAGATTAACAAAATCAGTGAGAAAAACTATGAATAAATCCGCAAATTTCTAGATAACATGTGTCGGAAAAACGTCAGGTAAACAAGATTCGGACGGTAAGCCAAGAACCACTTCTTCGATATCTAGTCTCGTAACAGCGTAAAACTAGTTAGCAGGCAGTTATGTTATCATCCAGCTTGCATTTGTCAAAGACCGGATTAACGTTTACTTCAATGAAGTTTTTAATGCTATCAACCTTTCTTACATATATAATGATAAAATAAAACTAATGATTATATTATTAAAAGAAATTAGTTTGAATACGAAAGGATGAATACATTATTTGACTATACAACGGCAATGTTATAGTAACTGTGGATGATGATATGCATTTGATGATGAAACAACTAGGAAGATATGGTTAGGAAAAAATCTAAATGATGATGGCAGTAACAATGGCGATGATGTTTGTTAATGTAGCGATATGACATAATGATGAAATGATTTACTCTTTAAATTAGCAAGCGTGGTTATGTAGATTACAATGAGAATTAGGCTAAAATAATTACCGTAATTAACTTAGATTATTAAAAAATTATTTTACAAAAATTGCAAAAATGGTTTTAGAGACAATGATGGCACTTTTGAAACGATAACGGCAGATCGATAGCAAACTTTCATTGATTTATAATACAAACCTGCAGCGAAACTGCTCAATAAATAAGAAATGTATAAATTGAAAATCTTATCTTCAGGACGGAGAATGCGGCGGAAACGACTGTGGAAACAGAAGCAACAGTAAAAACATCAGCAACGTCATCAACAAAAAAATGTTTAAAATCAGTAACAACAACAACATCAACAAAAACAACGACAAAATCAACATTAACAGAAACAACAACAGCATCAAAAATATGAACGATGGTGACATAATAGCGGTCGAGAACACCCCATTAAGGCTCACATGTTCATGCCTGAAGGCCTACCCAACACCTCACCTCTCCATATATCTCGACCGGCAACTGCTCACCAATGATCTCAACAAAGCTCACAACAAGTTCAGAATCACTGATGTAAACTACAACTACATCAATGACAACAACAAAGTAAACAAAGGAACCAAAAGCAACAATGATGACAACAACATTGATATCAAAAACAACGATATGATATATAACCTGAACGATGTTAATAACATGAACAACAAATACAAAAAATCTAAACATCATAGCAACAATAACAACAACAACAACCAAAAATATAATCTCGAAAAAAACATTCTTAAAAGCAGAAGCGGCATGCATGGAACAAGTTATGATGACGGACAGTACGATGGTAGTTCACAGACCGACACATCTGGCAAGCCCATCCACAATGAAAACCACATCGACGCTTATACAAACAACTACAACAACATCAACAACAGTAACGACATCAACACGAGCGACGACATCAACAGAACAGAAAGAAGCAGCATAACATTGTTCGTTGGTGGCGAGCCAGGAATGAGAACAGTGCACGTGAACAGTCTAACCACCACTCCCTACATCATCCTAGATAGAAAGAGTGATGGAAGGAATGTGACCTGCGTAGTGACAGTCGCTGGCATCATCAGCAACCTCACAACCAGGAGACTAACAGTGCTTTGTTCGTATCATCCTCTTCGTCCTCTTATTGACGTTCTTTTGATTTTTCATTATTTTCATGTTTAATTGCATTCAAGCTTTAATTATGGTTTAATTTTCTTTCTTACCTTCACACAGGTAAATATGATCAGCACAAAATACTTCGTACAAAGTTTCTAATGCAGTTTATTGCTATAAGCTGCATTGTAACTCCATTGATATGAAGAAACTTTTCTAAGTTTCTAGGTTGCCGAAATGTTGAGTTTGCTAGAAAGAACTTTGTCCGCATTGATCGGTGCATGAGTTGTATCGACCTGTGGGTAAAAAATGAGAAGATGCAAAAATGTGGTACGTTCTATAGCACACTGAATGAATCGTGAGACTTTTTCCGAATCACTCTGTAACGGATGCATCGCGCTTCATAGATTTTTGATTGGCACTCTTGGAAATCGCGCAGACGAACAGAGTCGGGTCAGTGTGAGTGGTTGCATTGCGGCGTGCCCTGGCTCGATTTCATGCACAGTATGTATTTTACAGTAATTTGCAGTACTTGCTGGCTCTGAACGAGTGTCCTTTTGTTTTGTTACCTTTTTTACTTTTCATCTTTTATGTTTTTTTAATTAAAAGTTTGCGATTTGAGTGTGCTGATCTTTCGTCGTTTTTAAATGGAAGTTCGTTAAACTTCTTTCTACTGAATAATTTTCATGTAACGAATTTGTGCCTGAATGTGCCTGTATGTCCTCATTCAGTATGTTGTATTGTGGAGCTTAATGTTTTTTGTATGTTTTGAGTTGTTGTGTTTTGTGGTTCTGTGTTGTTGTTTTGTTTTTATGAATCCGCGCGGAACTAAAAAAATAATATGCGAAATACATTGACATCATTGAAACATAAATTTTTTATTATCTCCAAAACGACGACTACGTAAATAACAATGTTGCAAATTTTACGTCAAATAAGCGTGATAATCTCAATTTTTTTAATTTTTAAAAACATTTTCAGCAGAGCAGTCGTAAATATCAAATTTTTAAAAAAGCTTCACAGCAGCTATTTGTCTGTGCGTCTGAAATCAAATGAAGTAATTGCTTAGCTGCTCAGTTCTATATTGCTATATATAAGCTGTTAAATGATTATGATCTCCCATTTCCAGTTCTGATAGATAAAACAAAGAGTAGTTTAAATAATATTCCTTCCTAACTTAGTTACAATTGAACTTTCGTACCAGAAATACACGAACCAGGTTTCATTCAGCGCAACAACGACGCAAGCAAGCGTGGTATTTCTACCGTGGCATTTCTAACTTGCTAACCATGCATATTTTATCCGGCCAATTCCATGTTCTTTTGTATTATTTTACATTTTCGTTCTTGTTTATACTATTTCAAAGCATGTATTGGTTGCTTTCTGCAGCGTCAGTCTTTACAGCAATTTGTAACTTCGCTCTTGTGATAACTCAGTCTCTATCTCCTTATCTTCAGTGTTGCTTTGGAATTATTACGAAAAATATCTCAGAAGTTTTCATTCGCTGTCTTGTTATTCGCACGACACAAATGTGCCAGTACATGTTAAAAAGTACGTTCCATCATCCACATCAAATGCAGATGCTGTATTAAAACATGCTCAAACATTAACAAAGCAATTCATATAATCCAAAAATAAACAAACCAAAAATAATAATCGTTACCATGAATGTCCGCCTAACCCTCATAAATGAAACAAATACAGTCAATAAATCTGAAATCTGGCTTATGAAATATAAACGAGGCTGATAACAATCGTGATATGAGATTGAGTAGACAGGAAACAAAAAATGATGATAAATGGCACTGCATCAGACATGATTTAAGATGTTCTCTTCTAAAATTTCAAACTGTTTTTAGAATATTTTAAAATTTTAAATGGATATTCAAAAATGAAAAGCAGGATAAAATTGTTGCAATTCAACCAACAGAATATTATGATTAGAGATGAATCTCTTCGATGAAAGTTGGCTGTTGATGTCACCGTATAAATTAATTGAAATAATAGTTTAAAATGTTGTTAAAAGGCCTACAAAAATGTTTGTTATTTTTTTCGTTGTTATTGACAATTTGCATTTAACGCTGATTTTGAATGAATATTTATACCAGCACCATGCCCTTGTATGTATCTCAGATACGGAGTTCATGCAATAATGACGTACAAATGACATTTTAAAAAAAAAGTTTTTGTTTAATTTGAATAATTTTTAATTTCATTTAATACATTTTTTAACTGAAAAACATAGAAGAGTGGTTGAAAGTTAAACTGATGAAAGCAAAACAAAATCAAATAAGATAAAAACAGAAAAAAATCCAGAATTTGATGTCATTTTGAAAGGCAATCAGTCAGTAAATGAATTAAAGAACAAGTTTATTAATGTATTAATATATCATTGGGTAAACGAATAAATAAATGGATAGATAGATAAATAAATAAATAATTTAATCAATTAATTAATTACTTAATTAATTGATAAACTAAATGTCACAAACATCAAAATCCGTTAGAATTTGCAATTAGAATATTTAAAAATTATTGTATAACCGCCCACATATGAGCGAGCCTTGTAGATTGCAATTGCGACTGTACAACAGAAGCAAAGCTTGAAACGAGTCGTAAGTAATTTTTATCTGAACATTATTTTCATAAAATGTTCTATCCGTTTTGAAATCTAAGTAAACGCCCAGCCGACGATATATATAGATAAAATCTGACGGACAATAATTTAACTTTGAATCGACTTTATCTGAAAAAATCCATAAAAATAAAAAGCAGCAATTTTCTTCAGACGCACTTTTAATAATATTTTATTGACTAATTTTTTTTTCATAAAAAGCAAACTATTCAAAATAATAAAAATTATCAAAACACATCATTACAACTTGCAAGTTTCGATTCAAACTAGCTACGCAATTTTAGACATATTTTAGACATTTGGTATATTATGCAAACAGAAAAATTGAAATCCTAAATGAATAAATAGTTTCGACGCGTTTCATAGCATAACATGACAAAATTTGTTTTTTGTTAAGCAAAACAAATAGATGCATGGAGTTAGGTGTCAGATAAATGAACACTATACGTTTTTACTCTTTCCAAACATTCATTCCTTCGTTGTCATTAAGCCAACTTGAAGTGCAGTTTAAATTGTTTGCTTAAAAGAATCAATAAAAATAATAAAGTTATAGAAAACTCATAAAAGCGAAATGAAACACAAGCTTAGAAAGCAAGTCTCGGATGTCAGTCATAATGTCCTGTATGGAGGATCACATGACTAATGTCCGCTTTATGAATCATCTTCAAACGTTATCTGCTTCAGTACGACTATATTATTCCAACTCAATCTTTTTTACCTTATAATTCTCTCTTTCTCTCTCTCCCTCTCTCTCTCTCTCTTGCTCTTTTTTTCTGCGTTTCTCTTTTCCTTTCTTTTTCATTTTTTTTGTATTTTCCTTTCTTAATAATTTTTCATTATTGTAGGTAGGCTTGTAGGCCTATGTCTTGCATAAAAGGTCGCAGTTTCTTTTATTTAAATTATAGCCGTATGTTATTCGTTGTTAATGTTTTACTAGTCAATTTTTTTAATCACATCAACAAATTTAAAATTCAAACGCAAATATAAAACAATAAAACAGAAATATCAAATAGGGAAGTTGGCGTTAAATGGTTGAAGGATCAATCTAAGTTTCAGTCGGTAAAACCTCATTAGTTATTGGCGGATGGCGGAATTAAATTTAAAATAGCGCTGATGGTGAGAAATTGTTTACCTGAAAACGTTCAAGTTTGTTTGAATGACTTGAAAAACTTAGTTTCAAATGTCCGTAGACAATGTCGGTTGTGATCAGCAGAGCATGGTGATTTTGCGTCTACTCTTTTCAAAACATCTCATTTTGGAGTAAAACGTTTTCAGCTACAGCCAAGATTCAAAATTTTATTCTATTATCAGCCGTGACGTTTTTAAAAGCTACTAAAACACAATTTCTTTAACGAGACAAAGCAAAATTATCGCTCAATAGACGCGCTTTACAAACAAGTCTACAATACAAGACATTTTTACAATATCGATTTAATATTTAATAGTTTCGCTCAAATCAGATCGTCCAGTGATCACGTGTTCATCAACTGACGTCATCATTGGTCAGGAGAATGCGGTCATCACCTGCATTGTTCGCTTCAAGCCGGACTTGTTAGCATTGTTCTGGAATGACCAACTAACTGATTATGGTAATGATAATGATCGCCGTGATGATGATCGTCCTGAAAACCGTGATGAATATGATGATAATCTCAAAAACACAATTAAGTCCGAGCGCAATATCAATGACATGCTCAACATCCAAGCTCATCCACCAAGCACAAAACTTACCAAAAAATCGAATGGCACCACCACATCACCGATGTTCTCATTGTCTACTTTAATTTCGTCAAAACAAAAACTAGCTTCTCCGACAACAACAATATCATCATCATTGGCGTCTTCTTCCACTTTCTCATCATCGGCAACTTCATTATTAACAAAATCACTGCTAGCCACATCATCGTCGACAAGACCAGAAGCATCTTCAAGGAGCAGCAATTTCCTGAGCACCAATGACATCCAGTCCAAGATGAGAGTTAGTCGAATGATCATTTCAATTTTATTTTTTAGCTTCTGTATACAGCTGGTGTGTTGTAGATTAGCTTGCAAATGACGTTTTACTCTACCCTACTTAACTAAAAATTGTAAAACGAATAACTCTAACGTCTGAAATGTGCGGTTAAAAAGGTATAAACATTTTGAATTCATTGATATGAAAGATTTTGGAAGATGGTACAATACAAGCCAGTCTACACTTCACAATGGTTCGTGCGCAACATTTGAGAAAATATTTCCTGAATGCGGAGAATGTTGTTGGTCAAACAGTGGCTGTCGTGCATTTACTCGAAAGTAAGTTGATCATTAGTATTTTTTAACATATCTTAGTTTGCTCATTTCTTCGCTATCGATAACCCAAGATTTGGGACTTTTGAAATAGATTGGTTAGTTTAATGGGAAATCTTAAATAAATATGTATAGCTTTTGCGAAAACATGTAGTGGGTGATTTTTATCTTAACTTTCCTCCCATAGTCGTTTTATATGGTATTTCATAAAATATTATGGTACTGCTGAAACCTTCTTGTATTTGACACTGTAAGTTATTTACGAAGTGCTTTTTGATACAACTGAAAGGTGTACTTCAAAATAATGTCTACAAAAAGATGAGTTTAATTGTAAGAATGTCGACAGAAAATTCTAAATGAGTTAGCTCAGACGCTGGCGCAGTGTTTTATTTTTTTGTTATGGAGAGTGTGGATTTAGGATTCAATTTTAATGCTTTTTGCGTAACACCATCACGGGCTTTTTTCTAGCGACGCTGTGTTTGCGGGTACATGTAGGTTGTTTGTCGTGTACGATAGCCGTGCATGTAGTACAAAATTTTAATTGCAACTGAATAAGTAATAATTTGTAAGCAGACTTGCGTTATTTAGAGCTGTCTGCCAAGTTGGTTGTGACACTATACTATAAGGATAGCCTGTGACACTCGCTGCTCCTACAAATCAATATTTGATTATTATATATATTATTTCCATAGATATATTTTAACGGATCCTTTCATAAATGTTCATCAAATAATTTTTCACATCAACAGGCAAATATGAAAATCAACGAAGCTCATCGCATCCGGCGTCTAAGAAGACATTACATGCCTCAATGATTTCTCATTTTAATGTCTCTCATGTTTTAGTAGTTTTTAACATAATGGTAGCAATATTGTATCAAAAAGTTTTGAGTTTTGTTTTTTTTTAGATTTCGCTTGGATTTTATAAAAAAAATTATTTTATTTTGCTAAAATTGTTTTTGTTGTCTAGATTCACTTTTAAATTTTTCAATTTAAATTCTAAAATTTAAAAAATTTGAAAATTGAAATGAAAATGGTGAAAAAAACGTTTTATGTTATTGGATTTTTTACTCTAAGTTACGTGCTGTATTTTTTTTATATCCTCACACATTTCGATACACTAACCACACCGGACAAAGATATCAAACGCGGAGAAAATGAAAAAGTTGGTTGGTGTTGTTTTAAAAACCAGTTAAAATTTTTTAAAATGTTTTAAAATTAAAATTTTAAAAATTAAAGTTAAAGTTAACTGTTAAAATTAAAATGAGTTGAAAAAGTTAATTTAATAATTTAATTCAATAATCTTACATCTAACAATCTAACTCAATTACTAAACTAATTACTAAACATTTAACAAAAAATATTTTTGTATTTTTTAGAGGTTATTTAAAATAAAACTTAAATTACTAATACTAAAATCTAAATATTGCCCTGGCATAGAATTGTGAGAATAAAGTTAAATAAAAGTAAAATGATTTATTTTAATTATTATTGACCACCTGCAATTACACAAATTGACAAATTTAATTGTTGATTATCATTAATTAATCATTAATGTTAATCACTAATGGCTTAATGTTAAGTTAAGTTAAAAAAATTTTTAATAATTATTTAATATTCAATTTAATTTAACTTCACAACTATGATTAAAAAACAGACACATTTATAGCAATAACAGATTAATAGTAGAATAGATAGTTTAATAATTAAACCATGTGTTGTTGTTTGTGTGGTCTGTGTTTTATCATTTTATCTGTAGTCAAATGATGATAAATCTATAATTATATGATTACACCTTTCTCTTAATTTTTTTTCAAAATTGGTAATGGAATTGATTGTATTGTTGGTAGATAACAAAAAAGATTTTTTTGATTTTAATTTAATTTTAATTGAATAATAAGTTATAAATTGACAGTTATAATAACAAATATATTATAAATTTTAATACTATATAATACTGAAATGAACTGATTAAATAAACTAAACAGAACAAACAATTTTAAAACTTATCCAACCATGTAAATTATTATTTACTGCAATAATTTTTATGTTTTCAAGATTTCAACATAACAAGTACAACAGAACATTAGTGACATATTCAGTATATAAATATATAGACATTGTTTTTTATTATTTTTTTAATATTTGATCACTATGTTTTTTTTGCCAAAGGTAAAACTGGTAGAAAAAAAGTTTAAACTTCTTGTTAGTAAATTTACTTAAAATTAATAAATTTAAATTACAGATTGGGAAAAATATTTTTTTATATAATTTTTATAACAGAGAGCTTCTCAAGATCTGTTTCAGCTATCTGCCCAGTTGAAAGTTCCCATTATGGTCATAGATTTTAATTTTTTGGAAACGTTATCACGTTTCATGGAACAGGAAAATGTTACAACGTTAGCATCCAAGTGTCATTACTTTTGCAGAGATGTTGATGTTTTCACTGTTGCCACATTTGATAGATTCTGGCTCGAAGATGTACGGCAGCAAGTTCTTCTACCAATTTATAAAATTTAATATTTTCAGAAAATTGTAATATTGTAACTTGAAGTTCAACATATAAATAATTTATTTACATAAAATTATTCAACTAAAACGAAACAATGTAGACTAAAGTCCTAACCTCATTCGGATTAGCATTCCATGTAACAAAATTGCAAGCACTTGAAACAGATGAAATAAACAACCTGTATGCTTCCATCACTGAAAGTCATTCCAGAACTCATCATGTTCTCTTGAAACATCTTCAAACAAATTTAACATTCCATCTCGTTGTGTTCCACCACATTATTGTTGATTATTATTGGTTCAAACAGATTGACAGTAGATCATTGGGAGATTTAGGTCTGGATGAGTCACTTGAATATGGTATCCAAAACCCTGGTGTTTTCACTAGGTTCTATTTAATGTTTTTTCTCTCTCACTACAGCAAATTCAGCTCATAATGTTTTTCCAATTTTTTTAACATTATAAAAAAGTAAATTGATTTGTGGTTGCAGGGAAGATGTGGAAACTAAGAAAGTGCATATAGACACGTTGAACATCCGCATACCACTCAACATATCTCAGTTCATTCGATCTAAACTACATTCAAAATTCATCAAGTGCAATGAAACTATTCAGAAACAATTTCAGAGGATCAATATAATTGATCCATCAAAGCAGTCACTGAACGTTAAGTTTCAAGCAAAAGCTGCCAACCTCTTGCTGACAGTCACAAAGGCTTTAAACTTCATCAACGTGCCCTTCTGGTTGAGCAGTGGCACATGCTTGGGTTAATATGATTAGTTAACTGCATGATTGGTTAATTTTATATACTCTGTTTGCGATAGAAAATTTTGGTTGTAAGTTAATAAACTGAATAGCTTATTTATTTATTATGATGAACCTTGTTTAGGTTGGTACAGGCAGTGTGAGTTGTTTGAGAACAGCAAAGATGTGGACATTGGAGTTTTTATTAAAGACTTCAAGCCACTCGTTATTCAAGCCTTACAAATGGAGGGTCTCACACTTGCTCTCTCCCTTGGCAAGGTGAAGGTTGATTTTCTTGCAGAAATTTAAAAAATTTAACATTAAATGTCTTTGAGCGATCCAACTAATCGTTGAGATTGTTATTCAAAAAGAATAACAAAATAATAACGAGGAAGATCTTTTAAACATGTCCATTTTTGTCTTATAAACAAATGACCAAATTTAAGTTTGTCATTTTTACACTGTCAGCTTCTTCATTGGTATGAAATAATTATGAATTTAAACATATTTGTCTTGAGATTTTGAGTTATTGAAGCCTACTATGAATTCATTGCAGCCAACAGATGGTTATGAGTTGGTTTTCTACAATGACAAAGTGAAGCTGGATGTATTCTTTTTCTATGAGGAAGATGACTGCATGTGGAATGGAGGAACTGATGTCAACACAGGCACCAAGTACAAGTAAGTTGCTCATTATTCTTTATATCGGCAATGCGGTTTTACACGTTTTGCAATAAGCGTGCAAGTGAGCCATGTTCGTTCACATAAATACATGATTACACAACATATAGCACAAATATATCCTTATTAAACGTTGGTTGTGCGCGTCTTTTGTAATTGTGATGGTGCTTGGAGTAAGTTTTGATCCTTGCCAGTTGTATGACTCTATTGCTTGAGGCTCATCAATTGCATGCCTACTTATTCAGGTACATATTCAACAAGTTTACACTCTGTTGGACCATCTTCATGAACATGTTCCTGAGAGTTCCCTGCGAAACGAACACATACATCCAGAACAATTATGGGACAGATTGGATCAGACTGGTGAATGAGTGGGATTGGAAGAGGAGTCCTTCGAACGTCATTGAAGCCGGAAAGTGGCCAAAAGACGAATGGAACCAAGTCATGATAAAATATATTTGAATTCGGTGACACCAAATGTCACCTCCTGCATTGAATGCTAACTGCTCAATTATAAATAATAACACCACACAACGCTAAATGACGGACAGTATCCGATCCATGCAATGAGTTTCTCGTTAATTTTTTTTATTCATAATCTACTGTTAGGAATATTCAATGTCATTTGTGCAGGACAGAAAGTTTTTATGTGTTTCAATATGGTTGTGAAACTTGCTGTCTGCTCTGCTTTGTTTTAATTATATGTTGTTTTAATATTTGTAACATCTAGTCACTTCAGTATTGAGTAAACTGTATTTTCCTGTTCAATTGAGACGTAAAATTTTCAAATACATGAAACAAAACAAACGATGAGATTGAACTATAGCATCTTATCTTTTATTGAAGATGGAAGAATTACGATTGTACATTCATAAATAAAATAACATTGTACCTTCAAACAATTAGCCTATATGTTTAAAATATTAAATATCTACACTGGTTATATAAATTCGTACATTTATTAATAACTGAACACGACAACATAAATTCCTAAGATAAAATCACCAATCACCGTTACATAATAGCTACTCCGTTCATGAATCTTATATTATACATAAGTACATACATATAATCGTCGCCGTCGTCGTATTGACTGCAAGAAGATCAGGAGCATTCCTGTGATTGTTTCGCGCTGGCCTCTTGTGCGCTCCTGAGATACTCGGCGTGCTTCTTGGATTGCGCCTCATACAACTTCTGCAATTTCTTCAACTGCGACTTACTCAGCGGCTCGCCATTGACATCATGCGTCGGTAGGCCCTGTTGTAAGAAATTTGATTCCAGCAAGTTATCACATATTGTGCCGTGAAATTTAATTTTTTATTCAAAATTTATCGTTGTTAGAACTGTTAATTATTAATACTGGAAATTATTTAGAAATTCAATTTTTAAATAATTGATCGATGAGTCACCTTGTCATCGAATGCAGAGTAGAGATGTGTTTCGGATGTGAACATTTTTGTTGGGGACAGCTTCCCTACGTCTTGTTTGCTCTTCTGTTTGTAACAATTTCAATATTACAATTCGTTTAATTAATTAATAATTTATTTATCATTCTTTCTTTCATTAACTTTTTTCTTCTCAATTATGTCCCGTTATGTTGCTGCCAATTTTAAGGAAGACAGATGTTTGTGCCAGAATATACTTGTATGTTATTATAATGAGAATAATGTGCTTGAGATTTTCACCTCACAACAACAACCTGTTGGGCCAATTTTTCTTCTTTTTGTAATTTTTTCAGTCTTTCTTGCTGTGGTTCAAATAATCGTACATTTCATAACGATTTTTAATTGTACCGAGTTAGTGAAAGGTAATTCAAAATTATCATTCTATAAATGATCTGCCAGCTGAAGGCACAAGCAACGTCACACCCACCTCTACCTTCTCCTCCCTCTCCTTCATCAACATCTCCCTGTCGACGAGCTTGATGCTGGTATCCTGACCCTCGTGATCTTCCAGACGGACTCCGAGGTTAGGCAGAACATCGTCACGCACGTCATCGCACAGCTTCAAAATGTCCACAGCTGTTTTGTGAGTCGAACCGTACAATTAATGATAAACTTTTCAAATGAGAATGTCCTATAAAAAAATAGCAAAAGCGATGTACTTCTATCTCGATATTTCGGTATTTTATTTAAATGCCAACCTTTGTGCTTTCTTGCTTCCGTCCTCACCTTGTCTCTGAATGTGGCGAATGCTTCCAAGTATGGCATCACTTGCTCTTCCAGCTGTAGCGTTTATTTAGTGCAAGTTTATATAGACTGAAAGATGATGTGACTGTCAGTCATCAGTGTAAGCATTTATATATTAAATTTCATTGTTTTATATCAACCAACCCTAGAGGTAGTTGCAATTTTAAATTAGTAACATATTAACATTTGAACAGAAGCAAAAAAAAACAAATGAAAGACGTTTGCTTGGCTGCCTGCCACGGGGAATCCGATGGTTTCGTCATCGTCGATTGCTCCAAATATCTGTTAAGTGCAAATATTTAACTCATGTTCACAACAAATGAAGAAAAAACAGCCGATCATCACGCATTAAAAATCCGTCAGAGCAATGTGTTGCAATGTAGTAAATAGAAATTTAGAGACTTCTTTTAACATTACACTAAACTGGCAGGATGAGAGTATAAAATATGTCAAAAGTACGACCAGATAATGAACGACGACAAACCAGCCTTGAACATGTGAGTGATGTAGTGAGCAACAGTCCTGAGTAGCGTTCCATCGATGGATGCTAATGTCTTCCTTGCAACATCCACGTATATATTACTACTACTTATCAGTTCTCTTATGTTATCCAGTGCACCTCTTGTGTCGAGGTTGTCTGTCGAGTTTGTCGCGTTGTGTGAGTGTGTGTGCGTGTTACATGTAACATGTGTTACAAGTAAGCGTGGGGAGATTGAAAATGTGTGTAAGTTGTAAAGATAGATATTTAGCGTTCAGTGTATTTGTATTTGCTGCGTTTTAGTATTGTAAAAATTTAACAATCAGAATATTAATGGAAATGAGGTTTGTAAAGCAGCAACAAAGACAATTTTCAACACGTATAATTAAAACATAGATGGTTTAATAAAACATAAAAATGAAATAACATCAATTTTTATTGAATCAACAAAAGTTAATTGAAAGAAAATTGACGTAATCCTGTAAGTTAACAAACCACACAAGCATTCGTGCACAAGAGTCTTGCATTCTTGAAACCTGTAAAAAATTATTTCATAAAACCAATCACATACAACTAAAGTTAGCTATAAGGCATAAAACAATTCGCCGCCACATGTTGAAGTTCTTTGCGTCATCTGTTTTTTGATTCAGCGCACTAAATCAATATTAATAATCAATATCCCACAACTTTTAGCTAACAAATTTCATTCCCAATATCAATATCAACGTCATTACTACATTTACATTTACTACGTTACATTACTACGCTTACGTTAGTACATGTTCAATTATGACAACATACACAAACATGACAGTCAAACAACTCAACAACCAACCAAAAAACCAACCTGCCAACTGAAAAACCAATCGACCAACCATCACCCAACTCACTTGTCATTGAGTTGAACTTCCCTGTCAGTCCACTTGACAAAACTCTCCAGGGCACCAGCTGACTGCTTCCTCACTACATCTTTCACCATCAAGAAAAACTCCTAAAACATCATCGTCATCATCCTTATAACTATCTTGAACATCAAAACTGTCACCATCTACAATGCCATTCTTTAAATTCCCACCAACATCATTTTCGTCATCATTCACAACAATATTTTCGGAACATTGTCACATGAAGCGTTTATTATCATTATAAATAGCCAGCCATATTTTTTAGTATAGAACTGCTATTCAGTGCTTGTATGTTAGCCGGCTTGTTAACTCGCCATTGCAGATTTAAATGTAAACATGATACAAGTCCAAAATAGCTGGCGCCATAGGAATTTGTGCAGCTTTCTGAATCATAAAAAAGTAAAACTTGGCATGAAATGACGTTTGAGTTTTCCCATTGTCAAACTGATTTCAACATTATCTTTGTCATTTTCATCATCGCCACCATCATCATCATAGTCGTCATCTTCGATATCACCGTTATCATTATATACTATACACTGTATGCTATCATCATCATACCATCATCATCATATGCTATCATCATCATTATACGCTATAATCAATGTCATCATCGTCATCACCATAACTTAATATCATGACCACACTCATCATCATCGTCGTCCTTCACCACCATCATTACAAACATTAACTGTCTTCTCGTAAGCAGTTGCTATCTTCATCGTGGCGTCACTGTAGTCTAATGTATTGTTCCAAGCGTGCAACAGAAATACCAATCTGATGATGACCATGACGATGATGATGACCGTGACGACGATGATGACAACGGTGATGGAGTAATGAGGGTGACGATGACAAAATACTGATGAAGTGGTGAATGATGAAGATTATAAATTTTTTAAGAAGATCATAATATTTATATGAAGAATAATCCCAACAGAACTTTTTTATATTCTCAATAACGCAGTTCTTTCAAATGCAGAACTGCAGACACTTTATTCCATGCTTAGATTTGTTAACACTTAGTGCCACACCACAGGTCGTACACATAAATTTCACATATTAATGAAAAGGCTGACTTAGTAGATGATGAACAGTTTTGATGTTCTAGATAGGTTCTACAGCCCACACCACGTAATGTACATATAAATTTCACATGCACGTACAAACATCACATCACATGCGCATGGTATACGATGGTCTGAGCTTTAGACAGGCGGCATTCGAACCAGGCCATCGCGCAATAACAGCGTAAGACACGGCACTTTTACCGACTGAGCCAACTCGGTAATCATTTATCATCATCATAGTCATTACTGATCATCATCATTACCATTATCACCGCCATCATCATCATTATCATCATCAAGGCCACTGACCGAAGTTGCCTAGCAGTATTTTTGCCGAGGGCCTCCTTGATAGTGATGAAGTTTTTGAGTGACTTGGACATCTTGCAGCCTGCGATGGTCAGATGACCGGAATGCAGGAAGTACCGCACCCAATTGTCGTTGTCGTACCTCGCCTGGTCACGTGATTGATTGGTCGAGATGTTGGTGTGTGATTGTTGGTATTTGTGGTTATTCTTCTACGCCATTATTTGCTTGCATCAATGACATTAGTAAATTATATATATATATATATATATATATATATATATATATATATATATATATATATATATATTACAATATAACAATCACTAAACTAATCCAATAATTAATAGTTAATTATTATATATATATATATAAATATATAAATAAAAATATATATATATATATATATATATATATATATATATATATATATATATATATATTTACAATATTGTGTGAACATGGCGTGTAAACAGAATTTAACGATTAACGAAGTTTTGTGCTATTTATTTAATAATTACGAGTTTTTGAACAACGATATATTTATTAACAATATGTCCGACTTCTATAGCTCGGAAGAAATCTCGGCTGCCCTCAAACAGATCAAACACGACGTCAATCTCCTAAAGATTGATGTTAATTTTGATACACCACGTGGTCCTAAAAAGAAAGACAAAAAAGACAAACTACGCGAGACCATTCGCTATTTAGGGCTAGTCCGCGAAAAAAAATTATCAACAGAGCTTCCTACATACGTTAGCTTTAACTTACGGGTACCTAATAACGACTCTATTCTTAAATTTAACTTCAATGAAATGAAAAACGACATATGCAATATGCTGCACAATCAGCAACTCTATCTTTGCAGCATGCTGAACGCAGCCCCTCGAGTTCATAAAAGTGAACTTAATACCAACAACACCAACCTAAACAATGTTAAAAGCTACTCGGTAGCAGCAGGACAAAAACACGCCTCGTACAGCTCGGATGCATCATCTCCCAAGATCGTTCATCCAGCTTCGTCCGTAATCAGCACACCACCATCTGATGAAACCTCGAAGCAGGGAACCCAGTCGCTGGTGGATCTCAACGTTGAAGCTGCTCCTGTTCATTCTTCACTTTCAACTCCTAACAATAACATCAATAAAAACTCTAATTTCAGTGGCCACGAAGGCTCTTGGAGCACTGTTACTTCAAAAAAAAAGAGAAAATACACTCCAATTACTGTAGGTTCCAAACAACCTGGGTCCTTCAAATTATCTGCAGCTCCTTTGCCTCCCAAAAAAATTGTTTTTGGGGTAGGTAAATTGAAAAGCTGCGTCAAAGAAGAGATCCTTGAACATCTGGAAACTATTGGACTGACCGCTGCAGAATGCGTACCAGTCTTTAAATTCTCTCCCACTTGTCCTCAACCTTCAACCAGTGATCCATCAACAAATTCCGCATAACTATTTTTAAACATCAGGAAATGATTTTTACCAATCCTGAAAATTGGCCTATCGGCGTGGAAATTCACCCCTGGTTGTTTCATGCTCGACCACAGCATTTGATAAAACCCACTACAATTTCACTACCAAATCATTATCCTGTCGACCTACCAAATGTTAATACACCATCGCTGGTCAACTCACATCAGCATGTAAAAAACACAGTTGAGGTAGCTTCCATTTTAACTTCTTCGGAAGAATCCACTCAGCCAGTCGAGCCAGTCACGATGGGCCTTTCTCAGCTGGTCGAACCACATAAACAACAACAAGCCTCATCGATGATGAGTCCTCCCTCCGATGTCAATTCTGCGACAGACATCAATAAATCACGACAATGGCTGTTAACAATACTTATTCCACAATCAATTCTATCCAACAACATCCTCAACCATCAAACAACGACAAAGATGATCAACACTTTAACGCATACAACACCCACATCGACCCCACAAAGAACCTCCTAGATTCATTCACCAGACAGTCATCTTACTACACCACAAGAGATCTACTCAACATTCTAGAAGCCAAGTACATCAACATCATGATCACCCTCTACCTCTACTTCACATAAACAGCAGAAGTCTTTTAAATAAAATTTTTGACATTTTAATTTTAAATAAATTTTTATCTTATTTTTTTCCCATTATTATTATTTCAGAGACATGGCTAAATGACGAAACCGCTAAACTAGTTCGTATGAATGATTACAATTTTGTTTTTAAAAATAGGTCTGACAGAATAGGTGGTGGAGTCGGAATCTTCATCAGATCAGGCATTGAATTTTCTATGATAAACAATTTGCTTCTGAACGACGCCATTATTGACCTTCTTGGTGTCAATTCAAAATTAAACAACACACACGTAAATATTTTAGCAGTATATAGACCCCCCAACACTGACCCTAATATCTTAATCCAAAAGCTCGAACTTATTTTACCCACATTCAAGCCACACATAAAGAGCTATTTAATTGGCGACTTTAACCTTTACCTCAACAAACTCAACAGTGACAACGTCGTTGCTGACTTCTCTAACCTACTATCATCATACAACTTCTTACCTCTTATAACCTCCTCTACTCGCATCTCAACTTCTTCTTGCTCACTCATCAACAATATCTTTACTAACAATCTAACTTCTCACTTATCTGGAATAATTCTGTCTGACATATCTGACCATTTCCCTATATTCGCCATCGCTTCCAAATCAGAAATCTCAAACCATGCCCCTATTAAGCACTTCAGAAACCTAACTGAAGAATCTATAAACAACATCAACAATTTCTTATCGAACTACAACTGGAATTCTTTGACTTCTCTAAAAAATGTCAACGACTGCTGATCTGTTTTGAATACTATCTTAACTCACTCTCTAGACACTTTTGCCCCCCTCCGTCCTGTCAGAAACAAAAAGAAAAAATGCTGGATCAATGACAACATTCTAAGTCTTGCAAAAAAGAAAAACAAACTATACATCATAAGCCTTAAATATCCAACCACCCGCAACATTGCCACCTACAAAAGCTTCAGAAACATGTTCACATCTATTAAACAAAAAACTGAACGAGACTACTTCTCTAACAAACTTGAAGACACACATAACAATGTTGGACAAAAATGGAACACTATCAAAGAAATTCTAAACACGCAACCTCCTAACTCATCAATCACCAAACTAACTATCAACAACCAACCAATTGAAAATAAACAAGAAATATGTGACCTTCTCAACACCCACTTTGCAAACATCGCTAGTCAACTACTCTCAAACCAACCTCCCAGCAATGGTAGTCCTACAGATTTTATGAGCCCATCCACACCTCATTCCATTTGTCTATATCCTGTTACTGAACAAGAAATATTAACTACTGTTAATATCTTGAAAAACAAAAAGAGCTATGCAGATGATGGACTCAACATGTTCCTTATCAAAAGCATAATTTTCTCTATCATATCACCACTTAATCATATCTTCAACTTATCACTAAGCACTGGAATCTTTCCTGACTCATTTAAAATAGCCAAAATCATACCAGTATTCAAGAAAGGAAACAAAGATGACATTAACAACTACAGACCCATCTCCATTCTTTCCCCGCTGTCAAAAATTCTTGAAAAACTTTTCTTTAAAAGACTCTCTAATTTCTTCTGCTCCAACAATACTATCTGCAATAACCAATACGGATTCAGACCCAACCACTCAACTGAGCTTGCTATTCTTGACTTCACTCAGCATATACTAAATGAAATGAATAACAAAAATCTTTCTATTGGCATTTTCCTGGACTTATCCAAAGCCTTCGATGTCATCGATCACAAAATACTCCTATCCAAACTACATCATTACGGAGTAAGAGGCACAGCTCACAACTGAATGAGAAGCTATCTTTCATCACGGACACAATATGTTTCCATGGACAACATCAATTCAAAGCACGCTCTTATTCATCACGGGGTGCCACAAGGATCCATACTAGGACCCCTTCTATTTTCTACCTACATAAATGACCTCTGCAATGTTTCGCCCTCAACTAAATGCGTACTGTTCGCAGACGACACCAACCTTCTTTTTACTTCCAACAACCTACCAGATTGCTCTGAACATATCAATCTTGAACTCCAAAAATACTCTAACTGGTTATCCAATAACAAACTAATCATAAATTATTCGAAATGTGCATACATTATTTTTGGCCCAAAAATACTCACCAACCAAGCTCCTAACCTAAACCTATTAGTTAATGGTGTTCCTATAAGCCGCACCCTGTCTACCAAATTTCTTGGAATCACCATCACAGAAAATCTTTCATGGAATTCTCACCTACAAACTACCTCAGACTCACAGGCATCTTCTACAAAATCAAATATAAACTCTCTCTTTCTGCTCTTCGCAAGCTTTATTACACATTCATCTACCCTTATCTAACCTACTGCATCACACTATGGGGAAATAGTCCAAAAAGCCACCTGAATAACCTAATACTTTCCAAAAAAAGATCAATACGTTTAATTTTTAACCTCAAACCCGATTCTCATACTAAACCCTTCTTCCTAGCAAAAAAATTTTTACCAGTTAACTTCATCTGTCTTTACTACTCTGCTTTATTCGTTTTTAAATTTATCAACAATCTTCTCCCACCTCACTTTATCAACTTCTACACATTAAGTAACTCCGTTCAATCTACAACCACTAGACACACCCTTCTCTTCTATATCTACAAAACTCGCCTCAAATTAATCCAGACAAGCATAAAAATAACAGGTCCTAAAATTTGGTCAGAACTTGTACCTCCCCATCTAAGAGCCATCAAAAACCTACAACATTTCAAGTCAAAATTCCGTGCTTTTTTATTGACACTGGATCTCGACTCCACCACCTAATATTATATTAAGAATACGTTAGAACAAATGATGCGGATGAATGGTCTTTATGAATGGTTAAACATTTATGTGTTGATATATGTACTGAGCGAACATTTACATAGTTGTGTCTATATATGTATGACATGAACATTTACTTTTTTATCTTCAATTATCTTTCTGCTTCAGTTATTTTCCTTATTTTATTTCATTAACTATTCATATATCTACCTGCGGTGGCCACCACAAGACAAACAGTCTTATTCGGTCTCCGCATAATCAACTTCATAACTCTTATTCACTTATTTGATATGTTGTTGATTATGAATAAAACTTTGAAAATGAAAATGAAATGAAATAGTTACATGTTTATTTAAAGTGGTCGGTCAATAATTGGTCAATTATAATTACTTTTAATGAAGTTTGTCGTTATCATTAATGAAGAAATTTTCTATAAAAATTTATAAGTTGAGTAAGTGGTGTGTCATGCACGTTCAACAAATTCGAGTCTGCTGTGCAATGTTCATGCTCATACATTCAACAGTCAGCAAATTCATTCATGATAGAGAGGATACAAGAACCGTTATCAAGCAACAATTTCTATCAAATACTACCTGATAGGATTACAACTTTATGACGTCATAACCTCATTAAGACAACATGACAACGATACAATGACATCATACATTTTTTTAAACCAATCATATCAGCCAACCACCACAACAACCTCCGATTGTGCAAGTTCATTATCATGATGTGGAAACTTGAGATCGACGCCCCCGGTGTGGATATCAAGGGACTGCCCGAGAATGCAGCTAGCCATCACGGAACATTCTATGTGCCAGCCTGGTCGACCCTGGTTCGTTCGGGTCAGGTCATAATGATAAGAAGTAGATTGATCTATGTCTAAAACAACAACGAATATAATGATGCACTTGCACAGCTACATACAAAGCAGACTTCTCTTGAGCTCATATTGAAATGTGTACAATTTAATGAGTAACAAAAATATGCATCAAGATATTATACATCAAAAGATGATGTAGAAGGTGTAGTTAGTAACATCTTAAATGTATATAACCTTATATATATAACATAACCATCATGTTGAAAAGTAACGACACTTACTTTGCCCCATGGTGAGTTCCACAGTGGTTCCCCGGGTTTGGATGCCTTCCACAGGGCAAAGTCTGTTGCATTCTTCTTCTCACTCAGTCGATCTTCCGAAACACTCAAGTCACCTGGTAACGTTTGTATCTACAAAGTTATACAACACGCATAAAAAACGCATTAAAATAACAATGTAGAAAGATGTTATTTTTATTTTTTTAAACATGCTACACAAAAATAAACTGATGCGCCAACCCTCTCCTTCTTCCAGGGCCTTTGCATCTCCATACGCCTCGGGAACCAGTTTGGCATAGAAGTGATTAGGTGACTGATCGAACTTTATTGTGTCAAAGTATACAGAGCCGTTGGAAACATATCTGCAGAGAAGATGAAAATGATGAAGTTGAGTTAATGAAAATGATAATGGTGATTGCAATTTTAACAACAACGATAATACCACAACCATTTTAAAAATTTAATTCTTTAAAAAAAATTCTAAACTTTTGCAAATGTAAAATTCATTCTGAAAATCAGTTAGAGAAAAAAAATAAATAGATGAAAAATTATTAATGCTTGTTCACATTATAAACGGAAAATTAAACTATCAAATTAAACAATAAATCAAAATTGCTATTATTATCATTGTTATCAGCATCACTATTATCTTCATCATCATCAACAACAACAACAGTATTTAATCATCATTCAATCACAAAATTATAAAATTCAGTGAAATCCAACTGACGCATATCCTCTTTGAATGATCTGCTGAACAAACTCAATGATCTCAGGCACATAATCACTGACTCTCGTCAGCACATCTGGCGGCTGTACCTGTTGGAGACAAAAAAAAAGAAAGATTATGAGGATGGCGAGAGAAAGGAAAAGGACGGAAGATACTGACATAAAAAGCAAGATACTGATGTCCGGAGATAAATTGCAACTAATCGTGCTGATGAAAAACTTTGTAGTAAATGAGTGCAAATTCTACAAAGGCTGTTAGCAAATTTTAAGGCAGTGCACATCAAATAAAATCTAATTACAACACCATCGTTATACTATGATTTAATAACAAAAATTTCAAACAACAGTGAGGCAACCACCAACACCAAAAAAGCAGCACCACATCAGACTAATGGGCAGTCACACTGCAATAACAACAAAGACATATCAGAAAGAAATATGATAAGAAGAACATGCATGTCTGCACGCAAAACAATCAGTTAATATCAACCAATGGAACACCAAACCATCATTACCAAACAACAGATTCCTCACCAGCTTTTCCACAACATCATAATCATCATCACTACAATATCACTACCATCATCATCACAACATCACTACCATAACATCCTATTAATCAGCATGACATCAGCTTACATTGAGGGCCATCATATCTTTGTGAAACTCGTCCTCAAATTTTTTGGGTAGTTCGGCAAAGATGGCATTGTCTGTGACCTTTGAACCCTCTGTTTCATCCAACCAATCAGAGAGAACATCTCTGAACTCTTCCATTAATACCTTTGGTAAAGACGGTGGTGATGGTGATGATGGATGCAAAAAAATTGGAAGTATGATGATGACAGAGATAGATAGATGGTTATTAAGACACTGATAATGACTGAATGTCTGAATGTCACTGAAACTGAGCTGTACCTCTTTATCGATGTTGTTATCTTTGTTGTCATTGACCTTCTCTATGGCAAGTTGTACCTGTCCGCATGAATAATGTTGCAAAAGTTATTGTCTAAGATGTGTTGTAATAGTGAATAAATTTGGAATTAACTACTAAAATTTAAAAACTTCACATCAAATTTTTATCATGTAAAGCAAGGAAAATGTTGCGGATTTAAAAAAATTAATATTTGGTCCTGTGATTCATTAGTAAATAAATGAATAGAGAATGGAAGTACCTTGTTGTACATGCGGGCGTACATGTTCTTCTTATCTTCGTTTGTCTCAGAGGATAATTTCTTGGACAGGAGCTGTGAAATCCATCGTTGGTGATTAGCAAAAATAAAATGTGCAGATGGTTAAAAAAATGTGAAAGAATTAATGAAAATGCATCCAAAAAACTGAAAAACGTTTAGTAAGCCAATATCATTTTTTTATTATTATTCATTAAAAATCAGGATCTGACAGACGCAGAAACTGTTACAGCATGCAAGGCAGTAGTACAAAATTAAACGAATAAGTGAATAAATAAATAAAAAAAGGAGAAAGAAAAATGTTTAAACATGAAAAATAAAATAAAATAAAATAAATAATAATAATAAAATAAATAAAAGAAAATTGACAATAAAATGAAGTAAAACATCATCAGTAGCATGAATGAAGTTGAACCTTAACAGAGGGCATGACATCCTGAACAATCTCCACGAGTGGCTTGTACTTCTTCTTGTACTCATCAAACAAATAATTCCTACGTGCTCTTCTGATTATCTGCCCATTAAAGAACCAATCAAACATATCAACACTGAATCTGAATATATGGAATGAATTTAATTATCCAGACATCAATCAACCAATAGAATCAGCACATCAATCAACCAATTATAAAGACACAAAATACAAGAAATTGATCGGTCAATGAATTTATCAATCTATCTTTCGATTAATATGCATCCATAGCTTACTACTCAGCAAAAACATTTACAACATAATATATTGCTGATGTTTAAAAAGACGAACAAGAAAGACAAATCAGATAATCTTAAAGTATAAAATGCAACACGATCAAAAAACATGAGACAACCTTATCATCGATGTCAGTGATGTTCATTGCATAGAAGACATCATACTTGAAATAATCTTTCAGCAGCCTTCTCATTATGTCAAATGATATGTAAGATCTGGATGTGGTGCACATACTCAATTAGTAATTATGTTATGAAGATAAAGCTGACAATATTTAAAACTTAAATCAAAAGTCTTAAAAAAGCAACTTTGTTATGTGAAACTTAGGCTTAACATAAAAAAGTTTCAAATACATAATCAAACATAGCAAAATTAGCAAGCTTTTAAAATTACAAAATGAAACAATACAATTGATAACTCATAAAAATAAAAAAGTAAACTAGGAAGGTAAGTAGTTTTCGGTGTCCAACCGGGCATGGCCCATGTGAGAATCGTCATAAACAGTGGGGCCACAGCTGTACCACAACACTTTACGACCATTTTGCGGAATAAATAGTTCCTGAAAAGTGAAAAACAGATAATTGGAATAATTAAATAATGAGTAATTAATTGATGAAAGAGTTAATTAATAAAATCATTTTTAACCTCATAGGTCTAACTATTATAAACTTTTATCTGCATTTTATAAACAACTAAATATTTTTACATCTAAGTTATACAGCATTTTGGCTATGAAATTTTCTTCATCATGTTACATTTCAAAGTTAATAAATTATATTATTGGTTGTTCATAGAACATCTAAAATTAAGTTTTTTTAATTAATTTAAATGAAAATCACTAAAAATAAATAGTAAAAATACTTTTTTTCTAGTAAGACTGTTTACTAATTTTAGTCTTGTGTTAAAACCCCCATCTGGCACTGTCCAATCAGGTTGATTTCTTTTAACTGCTGTTTGGTTTAAGCCAAAAAATATATATAAATTAGTTAAATTAAAATAAATTAAAAATCTGAAATATTCATTTTACTAATATTTTCAATTTAATATTAATTATTCATATATAATATAATAATCGTTTATAATAAAACATAATGATTGATTGGAATCAAAAAGTAACAGATCATTTACTTTACTACACAGAATAATAAACTTCTTCTTTCGAAATTTAATTTTATACAAAAATTGAAAAATAAACTTCAGTCTAAATTTAAAATATTTTTAAATTTTTGAAAATTTAAAGTTTTTAAATTTAATTAAAATGATTGAAAAATTGACTTGACATCATAATCATGATCAACTGCCTAACTAACCTTGCTGTGCCGTACTGGACATGGTGAAGCTTGCTATGCCCGGGTTATTCTTATTGATGATGATATTCAAATTTGAAGAAGAAACGTGCTTTAGAAGTGAAAGTTTCCTAAATATTCTAACTTCGATAAGCATAAATAACGTTGTTACGGAATCATAAAAATATATTATAGGTAAACAATGACGATGATGATAAATGCCGTACAGTTATTGCATGCACGTTTCTTATTGTACAGTTCAGTTATGACACACAACACACAGCATCTGGGGAATTTGGTGGCTCCTCTAAGAGTCTAAAAAGACATCTTTCAAATTACTTTGTAAAAATTTTCAAACAAAAAAATTAAATTTTATTAATTTTTGAATTTGAAGACAAAGCAATGCTTATAAGAAATTCTGATGATCTGTAAAAATTAAAAAAAAATGGCAACAAAAGTTTTTATCTAAGTTTCAATTTTGTTTTTTAAGTTCACTTTTAAATTTTTAAATTGCCAAAAGCGCCGCGTTTAGCCAAAATGACATTGTCCGTGGATTGATGGATGATGCGGATATAATAATCTTGAATTAGAATTGATTTATTTTAAATTTTAAAATGTCCCGACTTTTGCAAAGTTACTTGAAATGCCTAAAACATCATCCAGTTAAAACTCAAGCATTGACCTCAGGTTGGCTGGTTAGCTAGGGCAGGGTCAAGAAAATGAAAATAAAATAAATAAACACTCAATCAACATCATCAACGAATCAACACCTATTATATTCAAAATCATTCATTCAATCAATGATCAGTAAAATTAGTTAAACAGCGATCAGAACCTAGAATATTAAAATTAATTGAATAAAAATAAAATCAGCTCATTATTTTTAGTTTACTAAAGTTGGTGGTGGGTGAGAGAGCATGTTTGTTTCATTCTCACTTAATGAAGAAAAAATTTTGGTGAAGTGGATGAGCAAATAAAAAGAGATCAATGAATTAAATTAAAAACATTTCACCTTGATTTAATTAATGTAAGACCGACCCAAAATTTCAATTAATAAGTCCATAATGGGCATATGCAGGTATGCACTTTTATACAGTCAGTAAACAATGTTTACTAAACATGGTCACAAAAAATGCAACGTGAGATCAAAACTACTGTGAAAAAAAATTTAAATAAATTATATTTTTAAATGTGCATAAATAGATTTTTTTTATACAGTTCAGAGCAGAGGTAATTGCAAATAAATATGAGATTAGAAATGAAGCACTAAACAGGGACAGGAAATTTGATGTGTTGTTAACTTTTTTCATATTTTCAAATGTGTTTTTTAAACAGGTGTTTTGATGAGCACTGGAGATGCAATTTGTCAAATAGTCATTGAAAAACGACGATCCATTAATGAATATGACTTCAAGAGGACTTCTAGGTTCTTCACATTTGGCACTCTAATTATGGTATTCAGCTAGTTAAATGCTATTGATTCATTATTTTCATCATTAGAAGTGGTTACTGCCTTTGTTTAATTATTTCTTGATCATGTTATCCAATTGCGTTTCATAAAAATTTTGATGAAAAGAATTTTTTATTCTGAAGATTAATAGTTATTTTAATTATACGCCATTAGTTTTCATTGTCTGCAAATTTGACAATTACCTTTGTCATTATAACATAAAAATCATTCTGTCATTCTGTAGTAAAAATGTTTCCTATAACAACAGATATTTTTTATTAATTATAAAATATTATTTTTTTTAGTTTTTAGTTATAAAATTTAATGATTGATTACTAAAAATAGAAACCTCCAATCTCCAAATAATTTAAACAAAGGGTCCAGCGCTGAGGTACTGGTTTGTGTTTTTGGACAGAACATTCACAAGACCTCCTCCTCTTGGTGTCATTCAGAAACTTGCAGCAGATCAGGTTAATTCATGTTTAATTTATACTCAAATTACATTCAGTAATTGTTTAGTAATTAATTTCCAAGCTCTTTTTAATATACTCAGTTTATTGTTTTGAATTTCTATGAAGATTGTTTACTAGAAGAAATTTTTTCCAGACTTTCATGTCTCCAATTTCTTTAGTTACCTTCCTGAGTACCATGACTTTCTGGACAACGTACTCAACTGAAGCAACTGTTGAAAAGTTAAAAAAAGTATTTGCGAAGACTTTTCTTACTTACCATTCTCATTTACAATTATTTTCTTACTTTTTCATTGTAATTATTTTTGTAACAGGACTACTTCTTGATTCTTTTCAATGGTTACAAGGTAGGTTGTTTGAAAACAATTTACTTTATTTATTAACATCATTCATTTGTTGTTTCTCTGTTCTCCTATGCATTGCTGTCAATTTAAATTTTTCAGCGATTCAAACTTTTTAAAAAATTAAATCTCTAAAAAATTAAATTGCCTTCATTTCTAAGGTCTGGCCTCTAGCTCAATTGATCAACTTTTATATCATACCTCTGCAACACAGGTCTGTTGTATTATCATGTAATCTTCTTCTGTCTATCTATATACATGATATTTTTTTCAACATTTGATAATAAAATGCATTAAATTACTACACGCGATGTAGTCATATTAAAAAACTAAATTTCAATGAAATTTTCATTTGTAATTATTATGATAATTAATTTTTAATATTTCAATTTTTCAACATTAATAAGAGTAAATAAAAGGATGATACCAAAAGGTCAAAGATTAATATCCATTTTCCCTTTCTACTCCCGTTTCCACAACGTTTACGAATAAGCCCCAAAACCACGCATCACACATCGCATATTATGGGCAATATTCTTTTTGCACTCGAACCAAGTTACTGCAAAACAAGACCAGGCGCCTTTAACTGCTACGCCATCATGCCACCCATGATATAACAACCTAGTGTACTTTTCAAATTCAGATCGCAACAATGTGATTCACTCTGCAGTAACTTTTAATTATTGTGATAAAACTACCGAAATTGTCGTGGCAATAGGCTCCACAAATATATCGTGTACAGGAATAAGAAACTCCATTAAAAATCACTGATAATTAAATTTTTCATTCTATCAAATAAATAATAATATAATTGAATAATAAATTGAAGGATATTGTTTGTGAACATGGTTGCACTGTTCTGGAATGTGTACCTGGCCTTCAAGTCTTTCCATTAAAATATCGTCCACCTATTATTTCATGTTGATGTCAGTCTGTTTAACTGCAAAATAACTATTAATTTTTAATAAAACAAAGAGCAGAACTTTTATACTACCCTTTACATTGTTGATATGTGGAGATATCTATGATGAATTAGTTATTGATTATTATTTTAGGACAAATGTTTTATTTTCGATTGCACATACAACTTTGTTATGAAGACATTTTTATGTTTAAAAATGATAAGTGATTCTAACGGTCATGTTTGCATTGTTATATCTACATTAGTTAAGGACATTCAGCATCATTTAATCCATAAAGTTGAAACAGTATCAAAATTATGTAAGGCAATTTTATGAAAACTCATTAAATCTCATATCCCATAGAACATTTATGTTGCATTGCATAGGAAATTCTAATTTGCGTTCTTTATATTTCTGCTAAAATTCTAAACACTCTTAAATTAAACGTAAATTAAACGCAGTTGCTAATGTTGCCGTTAGTGAAAATAAAATCATGTTGATAGGTCAGTTACATCGTTGAAGCTATATAGATTTTGATTGATGTGTCATGCATTTTTAAGCTAATTTCCTAATTTTTTCGTTTTTTGTCCATTTGAATGACATTATAATCAGCCATGTGAAATCTATCTTTCTTTCAAAAAATTATGTTCTAACATTATTTTTACGAAACGTCATGAAAAATAGTTACACTATTTGTTTCAGCAATAAAGTTTTAACCTTCGAATTTTGTAAAAGCTAATGAAATTTCTGGAAAATTTTCTGAGCACGTGGCCACTTTCACATGGCATTGGTTGAAATGGGAAAATTTATTAAGTAAGGCTAAACAGAACAAAATCTCCACATGAAATTGTAAAAAGTTTGATTGAAAACTGTCTTTCCTTCTACGAGGACAAAAATTAGCCGAAATTTTGTACTAAATTTACTAAAATTACTAATTTTAACAGCAAAATTTTGATTGACAATCTCTTTAAAAAATTATGAACAAGCAAATGTAAGAACTCAAAAAAATGATTGGCTTCTATTTTTTTCTATACAAAAATCGAAATCAACAGAAGAAAACTTTCGACGTGAGGAGTCAATCAATTACAATCACAGGTATGATCAAACGGTTTGTATGTCGTTTGGTCGATACGAGGAAAATGACCGAGGGGTTTGAGAAGTTGTTCAATGATTGCAAATATAAACGTGGCCAGTTTCTGACGAGAAGGTGAAGATCGATCGTGTGCTGAGCTTGTTGTTAAAGTGTTCGTGTTCAAGAGATGCATGCTGGTTAATTTAACGTGCAAAGCGTCCGTGATGTTAACGAATTTACAAAAATGAAAAGGCTTGAACCGGAATAATTGTAATTAATAATAATTATATATATATATAAATATATCATTCAGTGGGATATTTGATTTTGCATAATAATATTTACATACGATGTTTCAAGGTGATTTACGGGAGTATAAGAATACTATATAACATGGCCATCAATCAAACATCCTCTTATGAAGCCGCACATTGAACGTCGCGTGAATATGGACCACCTTCATCGACATCATTATCGTCATCATCGTCGTCGTCATCATCATCTGGGGGAGGCATCATGTCTGAACTGTCGGCGCTGGAGTCGTCTGATTCTCTGTGCTGTTGAATGTAGAAGGTGACGAGGTGGAGAAGTTGAAAATGTTTGGCTTATTCTCGTAATAACGAATTCTAATAATAATAAAAATGGCATCAATGAAATGATCAACAATTTTTTAAAAACAAATCTCAAAATATTTTATCTTTTAACATTTAAAAGCGTTCAATAACCATGTTTGGTAGTAATAACAGAAGTTAAGTCGCAAGCTATTTTCAAATGAAAAGTGGTAATAAAGTGAGATGAACAAAAGGAAATGACATGTTCATTTTGAAAAAACATTTTAAAAGTAATAATAGAAATAAAAGTGATGAAAATGCTTGGACCAACCGATCTCCTCAACGTCTGCATGAGGAACCAGAGCAGGTGACCGTCATCAAACAATGAGGCCTCTCTGTCAGACTTTCGATTCTTAGCATTTTTCTTCATTATCTATGGGACGATATATTTAGGTTCGTTTAAATGATGACACCTAACAAATCTTATCAAAATTTAATGCAAACTTGTATTTGTACAGTTCTAAAAGTACAGTTTGAAAGAACAATGTATAAAACAGTACATAAACAGTAACAAAAAACATGAGAAGACAGATAGACAGATGTTTAATAAAAAAACAACAGAACAACTGAACTGACCGCAGGCAGGTTAGCCATGAGTGATTGAGGTTTCTTGTGGGCCATCCATAATTTCACTTTGTTGTCCAATCCACTGGTCGCCAACATGGGCAGATGTTTGTGAGGCTCTACCACATTTACCTTATAATGTTAGGAAGATGAAGATGGTAGAAATTTTATGAATGTTATATCTTTCTATAAAAAAAAGTAGAACGAACCACTCCTTGATCATCTCCATGCATGACGTTGACAACCTCTGTTGACTGTTTGTCCCATATGAAGACGTTGCTGCAGTCACTGCCACTAACAACGTACTGACACTCCGGTCCGTAGAAGTTCACTCCTTTTACTGGGAACGATCATTCAAATTATGAAAATAATACTGGTTAATAAGGTTTCTCAAAATCTCATCGAATATGAATAACATGACATAATTAAATGTGATTTGCAAGAAACATCAGCTATATAATACAATCAGGTCAAGTGTTAGTCAACATCACTGGAAACAAGTGGCAGGAAACAAACCAGTAGCAGAATTTCTGTGTCCTGTGTATCTTTTGATTTCTGAAGCATTGTTAGAGTGCGAGGTGTCAAACAGGTAAATGTCATCATTGCTGTAAGAGGCAACAATTTCTGAATGGTATGTCGCAGGGGACGATGAAAATGAGTGTAACTGAGGTAATTGTGGTGAAGGTTGTTGCGATAAGATGTAAAAATTAGAATGTAACAAAATGAATATGACGAATAAAACAAAAAACAATGTAATAATTCAATACTTCCTCAGACCTGTCCCAATATGGTTGTAGACAGCACAGGTCATGTGCATGTAATCAGACTTGACGAATTCAGCTCGAAACCTCTTCATGCAGTTGTCCTCCTTGTTGTCCTAATGTATCAGATGATGGCGATGACGAGGATAAATGGTGAAAGAATCAAACATTTATAGAGGTGATTATATAGACGAGATAGAAGCCTACATAAGCGGATACGTGCAAATTGTATGTTTTGTGCCTGGCACATCGCCAGAGGAAAAAAATTACCATTGCAATTACTTAGAATGGTAGATTGATATGAAAAGGTAAAAGTTGCCTGTAGAATTCAACGTAAGTAGGCGTAATGTGTAATCAAATCAAAAGTATTAGCGTAGGTGCCAGCTAGCAGGAGAACAGAGCGACTTTTCATTAAGAATTTTAATCATAGAAAATTATTTTGTGATAAAAGTGGGATGATAAATAATTCCATAACATAAAAAATTGTACCGTATCAACTTTTCTAATGTCATATATCCTGTAAATAGAAATAGGAATTTCATATTATTTCTCGCAGCATTTGGCAAAAAAACTAAATAAATTTTCAAAACATTTTATTTATAAAACATTCAAAACAAACAAATCACATTTGATACAAAATAGTTCATTATTCTTAGAAATCTTGTAAGGCAAAGTCAAAGGTGATCAACATGGATCACAAAGTGTCAGCATTATGAAGCCAGACAACTAAGTACCAGTAGAAAGTAATGTGCACAACAAAGTACCAGCCAACCTAACATACGGGTCCCTGCCGACGACACACAACTCCACAGAATTCATTGGATTGCTACTTACTGAGTTCAAGCCAACCTTCTTCGACTTGTGCTTCACTGTAAAGGACCTTCAAAAAAAGGTAACAAAAATTGATGGAATCAATACTAAAATTAAAATAAAACTTCCTTCTACGTTCTCCCACAGATAGGTTTTAAAAAATTTTGCCAGTCCTTTTATGATGATAATTACCACTAAAAATATGTTGCACCAACCAAATATTAGCTAACGTTGACAACCATGGAAAAAGTTCATATAGACAACTTATTGAATATATGATTAATAACAAATTCTGTGATGGAAAATTTAATAAATGAATGAACGAAACAACATACGACGCCAGCTTATCCAGTCTGAGATCAATGTGGAAAACATTGCCGTCCTCACCACAGCTGTACAGCTCTTCGGGAGAGTCGGAGAACAAGGAGATCTGTTGGAGCAATTAAATTAAAGTTTATTAACAAGTCAACGTAGTCACCAAGTTGTTAACAAAATAAAATAATACAAACAAGATATAAGTCACTATTATCGTTATTGCATTTATAATGAATTAAACATGACTTCAAATGAAAAGGTGAACCAGTGAACAAACTACAAACTTTATGAACTGGTCCTTTATGTTGCGCCAACTTCTTGTGACTTCTGCAAGAGCCAGTACTGGATAGCTGAGCTAGCCTCACCTGTCCATCTCGGGCAGACGTTACAATGTGACTGTCGCCTGAGTTTGGCAGGAACTTGGTCTATGTGCATTAAAGTGGTTATTTACAACCAAAATCGAATTATTAACCAAAACATCTGAATTAACTTCAAGAGCAGGTTAAAACGGTTGCAATGATTTGCATTTAGAGTAAAATTTAATTACAAAAAAGTTTTGCATGTGAATTGAAATTCTAACTTGAAAGATATTTGAGCTGTGATTGGATAAAAACTTAACTACTTCTTTTTCTTTCGTCCAATCATAAACAACAACCTGCAGGTCATCTGAGCCACTGGCCACCAAATTACCTTATTATATTTATTGTTACAAAGATTATCGAACTTAAGATTTTTAAAGAATTACGGAAAAACATTTTTGTTTGAAAATGCTTGCAAAACAAAAAAACATTCAGAAAAAAATTAAAAACTCGGTATGATCACACATATTTGTTTTCATCATCGTTTAAAAACATTGTTGACATTTAAACATCGTTTATTAAAAGATGCTCAACACAAAAACATGAATATGTGTGACATCATTTAAACAGTGTGGTGAGGTTGAGTTCATTCACCTTTCTTGACAAGAAAAATCCCACAAGATTACATTATCTAAGTTGTTAACTTGTAATCTTAATATGCTTACATTCATGTTAAATCTTTTGTCTAAACATCATTCAGTCATCATACAATCATATGTACAGATCATATTTTCAGCAAAGTATGACGAACCAGATTCATTGAAGTGCAATGAGTTGACACACCCCGAATGCTTCTCATATTCACAATAGATACCCATCCTTTTAACCAGGTTGACGTCGGCACACACGCGTTTGCAAAACAAGTCGTAACCTGACATTTAAATGAAGAGTAGATTACAATTTTTCACTTCAATTTGGTTATTAAAAAAATAATTTTTTCTAATTTTAAAATTTGAGCAAAGAAAATAAAACTGATTAGTTTTTAATTTAATATATGTTTTTTAGTATTACAATCAGTAAATTGTAGTATACAAATGAAACAGTAAATAGGATCTGTGTCAATGCCATTCAGTGGAGACCTGGCCACACAGCAGGCACCATAGACTCACTTCAAATAATAAAGAAAATTATCATAATAACATCAACTGACACACAAATAAAAATTCTGATTAGAAAAGTAGACGCCTGTATAAAAAAAACGTTTGCTTCATTTAATAGCATCTGAGTGACTGTTGGTGGGAAATGTTATGTTTAAATAGCCCAGTAAATTTGCTATTCCAAATTGTGGCCAGATAATTAATTCATTGCCAGCGTATGAAATTGCATTTCATTCCTTTTGAAATTCCATTTTACAGCAATTTATTAGTTCAAGAAAAAATACTAACCAAATTTACTATGATATAATTTTTGTTTAAAGTATTAAACTGTGAGCATACAAGTCATAGAAGTTTAATATGTTAGTTTTTTGACACTTTGGAGCACAAAACCAAAATTTATTTTTTAAACATTACCAAAATACATTCGCCGTTGAATTAGATTTGCATGGAGAAACACAAAATTCTATGGTAAAGGAAACAAATTATTAGGAATTTCATAATTTGGAAAGATGAAACCAACCAACCATTGATAAGTTTGGCCGGGTAGCCATACTGTCTGTCAAATACTTGCTTGAATATCCTTCCATATGTTAACTCATCTTCTTTTATCTCTGCCTCATCATCACTCGTCTTCTTTCTGGCACTACTTCTGGCAGCTCGTTCAATCCTTATTCTATTCAACAAATAATCATCGTCGTCGTCGTCATCATCATCATCAGTATGTATTTCACTCACAAGCCTGACGTCAGGAGTTGATGTTGAAGACGACGATGAGATAGGCGATGATGATGATAAAGAAGAAGATGTCTGTGTGCTATCAAATGTGATTCGTAGATGGTGATCATCGCTATCATCACTATGATTTAAAGTACTACTTCCTGCATCTTTCATGCCATCATCATCAGCAGATCTGTTCGAGGCTGGCTGTGCATTTGAAGTAGCTGCCTCCTTCATTAACTTTTTATGTGCACCTGTCAGGTTAAGGATTCAATCATTCTTCTTTGTGTCTACACCCCAATTTCAATTAACATGCTAAATCGGGTGTGGCATTCAATTATCATAAAAATTAAAAATATATAGAATTTAATCTATACTCTTTCATAGTTAATAAAAAAAAATTAAATTTTCACAACAGCAAGGAAGATGTTTAAGGTTTGTACCAAGTTGAAAGAATGAACACATAAAAGTAAGTCCAAATAATTTCCATTTCATAAGCAACAAATAAATAGATAAATACTCTATTTATAATTGCTTTAACAAACTACTGCATAATAAAAAATGTTGTGAATTTTTAGTTAATGGATAACCTTTTTTATACTTTTCAGATGAAAGTTTTTTGGAACATGTAGCCTCAGCTCCATCCACATCTTTCATTTCTTCATCAACATTCTCTTTACATTCTGCATTATTTTTCTCCATAGTGATGGCATCATTTTCATCACTTCCATAATCATCATCTTCATTACCATCCAAAACTTTTTCTCTCAGTCTCTTCCTTTTATTTTGTTTATCACATTTAGATTTGAAAGTACATGAAATTTCTTTCATCCCAGATTCAGGGAGGTCTTCTTTTGGAAATTTTGAGACTTTGTCATCTTGAAGTGTAGAACAAATACCATCTTGTTGATATGTCTTCAAAACTTCGTCAGTACACAAACTTATATTCTCTGTGACCTCTGAAACCTGTTTTAAACTATCACTATTTGTATTTAAATTATTTTCAAACTTGTCATAGCAGTTACTGGCAATTGGTACTAATGGTCCATCGATGACACTTTCTACTAGAAAATTGGTCAGGTTTTCGTTCATTGAGGAAGATGATATGACGGAGCCACTGACGTCATTGGGAGATGAGCAAACTGAGGAACTGTTACTAGGATTACTCTGATAGGCTGATGAGGACGAAGACGACCCAGTACGGTCCTTGAAAGTTTTTTTTGAATCACAAATCTTATTTGCTTTCGTTGGCTGGTCTCCAATGCCATCATCTACCTTTTTTTTATCAATAGTGACAGATTTGCCAACGGCTTCACAACTTATTTTATCATCACACATCATGTAAAAAACCAATAGTTAACAACTTCTATCACTCTTTCGAAATTCTTTTTCAATTTAAAAAAACTGAACAGTTTTTTTAATAAATGCTAACAGCCTTCTTAAGTTTTAGACTTTAAAAAAAAGCTTTAATTTAATAAAGTTTAATTTAATTAATTAGGAATTTAAAATACTGTTTACTTAGTTTTTTTTTAACAACAAAATATTTTCATGAAAAGTAAAAAAAAAGTTTGTTAATTACAAAGTACATCAGTTTAAGAATAAAATAAAAGAATAAAAAAAAGGAAAAGATGTCAACCAAACCCAACTATTCATTTATTTAGAATAGATTAGATTTAGTTTATTTAAATTTAATTTAACTTAAACGCTTAACTATTCTTTTTGCTACTAGTACTTTAGTAGTAATCAGCGCTGGCCAGATTCTAACTAACTAACAAATAAAAAAAAATAAATTATATATTTTCACATCTGTAACAAGTAACAGGTTGTAAATAGTGAAACTGAAACACTGAAACGGTAGCTTCGCGAACACCGTTCACTACTTGATATAATAATAATAATAATAACAATACCCAATTATTAATATTAATTAATAAATTATTTAACTAATTAACACTAATAACCGCATGCAACTGCATAAATCATTCTAGTTCGGTTTTAAGAAAATCCTGAAGTTCGTGTTTTCTTTTTTAGGTAAACAACAACCAAAGACCCCAATTTTAAATGAACCAGCCCAATGTTTTTAAAATTTAAAGAGCTTGACATTTTGACCACATTATCATTAAATTTAGTAATTATTATTAATATTATTATTATATATTAAATTAATACAAGGTAAATGTATTTACAAATTGTACTAGTTTAATCGAAATAATTTTTTAATGAGTCAATTAATGATTCCTAATCAGATACGTAGATTTGATGCTACATGAGTTGTTTTCGGTTTCTTTTTTCTTCAGAAATGACCACCACAATTACACAAAATGGCTTGATGACCACACTGCACAAACGTCCTGTTGCAGATGTGGAGGGTTGTCCGTCTTTTTAAGCAAGAGTTACAAGTAACAGCCACCTTCACACATCAAGTCTTCAAGAGAGGGAGGACAACATCAATTTCACCAGTGATCCCCATCTTATTTTATATTTTCCAGACTCAGACATTCGTTCATTTTCAGTAGTTTTCTTTACGTAAGTGTGCAGACTTGAGGCCACGAAATCGTGTAAATGAAGGTGGTGATTATGAAATTCAATGCAGTAGCTTTATTGGAGTAATTGCCGAGAGAGGCTATGGCCGTCAGTGAAAGCCGTGGCTTAAAAACAATCTGTAAGCTCTTTATATATTATATATGTATATCTAGCGAGATTTATTGGAATAATTATAATTAATATTTTATTTGTAGAATCAACTCTGCCAAAATGTAAGTGAATCTCGTTAACCAAGATGATAAACATCGTGTTATTAATATATCTTCTTGGTTTGAAAAAATATATACATGAAAAAATATCAAAAACTTCCAGTGTTAGTGTCTCAGCTTCTACATAGTTTCCATATTGAATTCAACAACATCAACAACACAACTTCAACAACATCAACAAGACAACGTCAACAACATCGACAACACAACTTCAACAACATCGACAACACAACTTCAACAACATCGACAACACAACGTCAACAACATCGACAACACAACTTCAACAACATCGACAACACAACTTCAACAACATCGACAACACAACTTCAACAACATCATCAACAACGCAACTTCAACAACATCGACAACACAACTTCAACAACATCATCAACAACGCAACTTCAACAACATCACATCAAATCAACATAACAACACTGACCAGATACGTGCCAAGTTAGCGAGCACAGCAATAATTACACATATCATTAACTGCACGATCTGTGTGCATCTTAATCGATGTTGTACTCTATTGTATTTAGGTGTGTGTATGTTTTTGTGTTTGTATATTTGTGCGTGCGTGCGTGTGTGTGTATGTATGTATGTGTGTGTGTGTGTGTGTGTGTTCGTTTTCGTTTGGTTTGTTGCTTCGTGTTTTTAATAGCTGCTTAAATTGACGTTCAATGGGGTGAAATTTGTTAGCTTTTTTGATGAACAAAAAGTTATGGAACGCCATGTTGGTGTACATTTATTGATCAAAAATTCTCCAATCTTAGCCGTTTGGGTTTAATAATTGAATAATGCTCTATAAAATGGTAATAATTGATACTGTATTTTAAAACAACGTAATTAACATACTTACATAATTAATGAATTTATAAATAACGTAATTACGCAAACAAAAAACGAGCCAATTAATATTAAAATGATGAAAAATTCAAATCTAAAAGAACAGTGGAATGCATGGAGGATTGGATTTATTTATTCCCTGCCAATTAACTCGTCAATGATTCCTTTCTTAATTGCTCTGATGGCTGACTTGCTATGTTTAGTGTTGGTGTTGTTACTATTGTCAGTGTTGCTTGTTAGTGCTGCTGATGTTGGTGTTTTTGCAACTATTGTTGCTGTTGTTGGTGTTGTTGTTTTGTTGTTAGTGTGGTTGCTTCAACTTCTGTTTTTTCGGCGTTTCGTTTTGGTTCGGCGAGGTCATCTTGTGTCGTTCGTTAATTGTTTCAAATTTTCTAATTCGAGTTAATTTTTCTATAATAATAAAACTCTAAAGAAGCTGAGAAGCGAAAGAGAGAACGTCATTGAATGAAAGAACAAACAAACAAACAAACGAATGAACGAACGAACGAACGAATAAACTTGATGAGAGAGCATGAATTTCACATATTCGAAACGATATCTCCACAACACTCGCCACAAGGCTGATGTATGTTAGAAACATGTTGTCAAAGTTGTTTTTGTTTACTGAAAGACACATTAAGCAAACACACACACGCTCGCACACACGCGCTCACGCACGCACACACACACACAGGGTTAATACTTCTACAGACAATATATTGACAAGATTGGTCAATTAATGATGCCATAAATAAATTTGGGTCATGTCAGATGGATGGATTGAAGAATGAGTTTAATGAAATTTATTAACTAACTTAACTAAACACTTGACGTTTTAGTCGTTGTTACTTCTGCTAAATGCTTTTGTTGTTAGTGTTGTTTTTGTTGATGCTGTTGTTATCATATTGTTGTTTTTTTTTATAATATTATTGAAGTTTGATCTGTCATTTATGTAGCTACTTTCGGATTTTATAGACTTCATTAGCTTACAAAAGAACCTTATGGATATATTATGTTATATAAACCAAATAACACAAAAACAAATAAAAAATACAAATAAAAAAGCAAATAATAAAATTAATTCAATTTGCTAAAACGGAAGTTAAATTAGGTTAGCAGCAGTAAAAAAAATGAAAAATGGTGATGCAATTGGTTGGACATGTTTATATGATTGGCTTGCTGATGTCATCACCTCCATCATCTCCAATGTTGATTAAACAAACGAATTGATTTACAACAGCTTTGAATATTTCAACTAAAATACAATAAAATGAAATATCATAAAAAAATTAAATTTGAAAATTTAAGAACTGGAAACGCTGAAGTCAACAGATGTGAATGAAATATGAAACAACTATCTACATACGAAACAACAACTAATTAAACTGATGAGGAATTCATCATTGTTTTTAACTGAAGGGCTAACTGTTTTTGAGATTATCTACTTCTGTCTCCGTGTCTGTTCCTATTTATGTCGCTGTTGTAGTCCTGAATAAACTTTTTTAATACAAATACATAAATATATCAAACTGAAGACAACTTTCGCGTTAGATTAATATACATTTTACCTTTTGATTCAACGAATAACGAATGCTAAATGGTATATATAACTTTAAAACAATTTTTGTCGTTATATATTATTTTATTTGATGAGACTGGATAGGTTGCGTTGCAGGTAGTTGTAAGGAATTGCTGAAATTTGATGAAATTATTAAATTATGGATAAAATTATTCAATTGTGGATGAAATTGTTAATTATGGATGAAATTATTTAATAATAGATGAATTTATTTAATTATGGATGAAGTTATTTAAATATGAAATTGGATTGAAATTATGATTGCTTGAAATAACTTTCCAAAATATTTAAAGATGAACTGCTCCAGTTATCAAAGTTATCAAGAATATGATCGTTATAGCAGGGATGGTGAAAAAAATGATGATAGTGAGGTTTAGGTGATAACGAATAAGTTTACGGATGGAATGTTGGTTTTAAAAAAATTTCAAAAAATTTGACCAATGCTGCCTGTCGCGAAGAAGTTACATTAAAGAAGCCATTGAATATTATGCATAGGATCAATGAAATAAATGATTGTAATGAAAACTCTGAAATTATTGAAAATAAAGGTAAAATGCATTGTACGATGATACATTGTAACAAATGATTGATGACAACATGTGAATTGAATCCATGATTAACCCATCTACGTGACCTTATGACCCGAGAGTCCAGTTGAAATTCACATCGTTGTCATGCTCACTTACATATCTGACCTTCATTTTATTTACCTAATTGAATGATGCATGCATCTCAAAAGGTTTATTGGTCATGAGTGAATGAGTGTATTGGTGAGTGAATGGATGAGTGAGTGGGCCATTTATCAGTGGCCAGTCTTCGTCTTTGTGTCATTTCATTTTTGAGTGACCTAAATCAAATACATCACGTACTTTGTTTGGTTTTTTGGAAGAACCTTTGTTGCTTATCATTTAAATAAACTGATAATAAATATTTTGTCAAAAGAGTGCATGTAGTTCCTTTGTTGTGCGCACAAAACTCCGGCCTCACCTCAACCAACATGCCCTAACCATGAGTGCTTTTATATTTTTGTCGTTCACAAATACGAATCTTCTGACTCAAACTGCTTTCTGCTGTTTACAGTTCAATAATGTTTTACTCTCAATTTGTATAGAGGAGAAGTTTGTGATAGCAAGAGTAATAATAATAGTTTATACGTTTACGCAACATGCACCTACCAATTTCATGCCATTTCTCTGGTAAAAAGTTGCGCCTTATACGCTGTCAGTCAGTATTATTTATCATAAAAAGCAGGAAACCAGCAGGAAACAATTTCAAATTAGTAGAACCATCTTGTTGGGCCGGACAAAAGATGTCTTGTCGTTTTAAAAGTATCAACTCATCAAAAGATCCATACTTAGACAATGTTGTATCAGATATCATGAGTTGCATGTCATCTGGCAATGTTCATCTTCATGTTACGTTGTCAACTGCTTAGCGGAGTGTTCAGTGTTTGTTCAATGCCATCTACTTAAATTTTTATTTATTTATTTATCTTTTAGGCTTTAAAAACGCCCATATTTGAAATAAAATAGTATTGTATAAATATATAAACACAACAATAAATCTCTTTTGAAGAAATTATTTTTTATTGTCTCCGTCATTTCCCTAGCTCACGACAATCATTACATATTTCAAATTAACATTTTAAGAAAAATTTAATTGTTAAATGTGCATTGTTGTCGTTGGAAAGTAATTTATGAAGCGCATATTAATATTCTTTTCAGTTCTTTTCAGTTTCTAAACCCTTATGTTGCAGCACAATTTCTAGAACTTATTTCATTAATACGAATCACAAAAGTGCAATTACTGGTCAAAACGCTAGCGGAAAGATTATTATTGGTTAATGCGTGCTGATTTGTGTGATCATATGTGTGTGTCTGTGTGTGTGTCTGTGTGTGTGTGTGTAATCATCTGTGTGTGTGTGGTTTGTGTGTGTGTGATCATATGTGTGATCATATGTGTGTGTGATCAAATGTGTGTGTGTGTGTGTAATCATCTGTGTTTGTGATTTGTGTGTGTGATCATATGTGTGTGTGTGATCAAATGTGTGTGTGATTATATGCGTGTGATCGAATGTGTGTGTGTGTGATCGTAAGTGTGTGTATGTGTTTGTGTCTGTGTATGAAAAAGAATTAGGAAAAAAGAAGAAAAAATTATAAAGAAAAAAGTGATTAAATATTTCATGATGACACGGTTGCAGTTAATTGTGTCGCAGGATTTGAAGAGTTGACGTTTTCTTAATGTTGTTGTTGTTAATGTTTTTGTTGTTGTTGTTGTAACTATTTATTTACTGAGTTTGATTTAATGTGATTGTTTGATGTTGTCACATTGTCGTTGTCGTTGTTTTTGTTGTTGATGCTAATTACACGGCATGCTTATTAACGTTTGCGTATTG